ATACCAGCGAACTTAAAAAAGCATATAACTCAGCCTCCAGGTCCTTCAAACGGGAAATCACTAAGGCAAAGTCAGAGCACATTGCCAATTTGGGAGAGATTGGCCCAACTCCCATAGGGACTCGAGCCTTCTGGTCTCTCGCCAAAGCTGTCCAAGGGAATTTTTGTCAGCCCGCCATTCCGCCACTGAAGGGAGGATGACTCTTGGCCCACACTGGAAGGAGAAGGCTGACCTTGGGTGTCTCTTCGGTCTAACTCGACTTGAACGAGGGAGATCACCACCGACCATTTCGGGTGTGATCTTGATGCCGGAAATACACGGCAACGCTCGCAAAGCACTATCTTCCTTGGACATTCATAAGTAGGGGCCGGATGGTATCCCCCAATTGTGCTGGTACTGTTTGAGTTGGTCGGTCTTAACGCGCCTTTTCCGGTACCTGTACTCGCTCACTGTCCCAAGTGGAAGACCGCTTTGATACATCCGATCCCTAAAAGGCGATCGCTCTGATCCGTCCAACTATCGCCCAATAGCTATAACCTCCTTGTTCTCCAAAATAATGGAATCCATTGTTAATTGCCAGCTCTTGAGGTATATAGAGGGCCACCAGCTGATTAGCGATTATCAGTACGGCTTTGTGGGTCGTGGTGGTGACCTTCTTGTATACCTTACACATAGATGGGCAGAGGCAATTGAGTCCAGAGGGGGGGGGAGCGTTAGTTTGGACATAGCGAAAGCCTTCGATGGGTGTGGACAGAGCACTGCTCTCGAAGCTTCAGCTATGGGCTTCCAGAAATTAGCAATTGGATCTCAGTTTGGCCGATGGAGATAGGTGTATAGGAGCAGTTCGACCTAAAACCCGTAAACGTGGGGTCCCACAAGGCTGTGTTGACCCTATTTCTTCTGCATATCAATGATATGTTGAAACTTAGCAACATTCATTGCTATGGGATGACAGTATGGGGATACTTTTACATGGGGGCAGGTATTTTTGGCAGTTGTTGATGAGTACCGGAACAAACTTGGTTGAAGTTGAAACTCTATTGTGGAGTCTAGATTGGGGCAGACAAAACCTAGTCCAATTTAACCCAAGAAGACACAAGTTTGGCGTTTTCCGCTAAAAACACCCTTGTACTCCTCTTTTCGAAAACACTCTTCTTAAAGCCACAGCCAGATTGGAATACTTGGGTTGACAATCGAGACGTTAGTTTCGGTACTTGAGGGAAAGGTAAATTAGCCTCCAAAAAGCTTGGTGTGTAGAAGGGAGACGGTACACTCGGCACCGCATGCAACTATATAAAGCGCAAATTCCAATGGAGTACTGCTCTCACTCTGGGGGGGGCTCCAGTAAGTCTTCCATTGACCGTAAAAAGAGGGTTCGAATCGTTGACGACCAATCCCTCTCCGAGCGGCTTGATCTTTGGCGTTGGAGAGATGTGGGTACGCATCTTCTACCGCATTTACCATGGAGAGTGTTAGAGGAGTTGTTCGGATAAATGAGTGAGTTTCATCATGGAGTCGAGGCAGAATACGAAATTCCACCCGTATCACCTCGACGTCCGACGTTCCACAACTGAGCGTTTCTCAAGGCAGTTTTTGCCGCGCACCACCACTATGTGGAACCAGCTGCCCACTGAAGTATTCCCGAACCAATTCGACTTAGGGTCCTTCAAGAAAAGAGCGTACCAATTTTTAAAAGGCCGGCAAATGCGAGCCCTCTGGATTGAGAGTTATGGGCGGCGGAACAAATAGGTGAGCCTTCCGTTTGCCCCCGTTCTATAAAAAAAAAAAAAAAAATCATATTGTTTTCGTCGAGAGTCTAAAGTATTAAGTATCGATATTGGGCGATAATTTTCAATACTCAACCGCGAGCCACTCTTATGAATCGGTATTATTTTAGCTATCTTCCATACATCAGGATAAATGCCAAATGTGTTCACGGATAAGTTCTGTATTATGTACAGTGGTTCTGTAATAGTTTGAGCACATTTTTTGATAAAAATAGGTGGTATACCGTCATACCCAGCTCCTTTTTCTGCATTTAATGAATTTAGTAACTTCAATATATCAAATTTGGTTATATTTAGTTTACATATAATGTTGTCGGTTACTTCCGTATTAGTCTGCAGAATTTCATGGTATGAAGGTGCTGCTTGTTGGAATACGCTCTCAAAGAAAGTACTGAATCACGTGCATGCTTCCGATTCGTTATTATATATATTGCTTCCTAATTGTAATCTATATATATATTTGGATAGCCAGTGTTATTAATTCGTAAGGATTTTAAATATGACTAGATTTTCTTTGGATCTCTCTTTAACGATGTTTGTATTTTTTGCATATATAAATTAAAACATTTTTTTGGATTCCCTTCTGTCTAGCACGAAGTAAAGAAAACTCATCATAATCTCGTGGGTTTCCTCTTGCTTTCCAACGAGAGTGAGCGGTTCGTTTGTCGCGTATTATATGTATGAGCGACTTAGAATACCAGACCGGATATTTGTTATAAGCATAAATGGTAGTTAGGCGCATACTATTCAATTCCACGGTGGAGGATTGAATAAAATTTCTGCACAATTATGTCAATGGTGTCGCCTCTTAGTGAGTCATTCCAGTCTATACCGTTAAGATATTTATTTAATTTATAGTAGTTAGCCTTCGTGAAGTTATATCTTATCTCCTTTTTTAATTTAATACTAGGCGTCATCAATTCCGACACTTTCAGTTCCAGGCATGGATGGCTTGGGTCTTCTTTAACGAGATAATTGCAAGATTTAGACACCTCGATGTATGTGTCACTAAATATTAGGTCTAGTATATTTCCAGAGGAGTTTTTATGAAAGTTGTACTGACTGAAGCCAAGACTACTGCATGATTCAACAAGCTTTGCACCCGCATTTTGTAGGTTTACAGTTCCACGCCTAAGGAAGGTGGGATCAAAGGTAGGAGACCAGCCTATGTGGGGTAGATTGAAATCGCCAGCTATGATATAATGATCATTTGTGTGTAATGAGAAAATATATAGGAGAAAGTCTGTAAACGCTGTAAGTCTTACAGACTGCAAATCGTCTGGTGGTATGTATACAATACATATATGTAGTTCGCGTTTATTGCATTCATTCGACGCGAGCGTACTGGCGGGAATCCGGAATAGTCAACCAGGTACACTCAACGCCGTCGCACGTCCACTCGGCCATCTCTTGCGCATGCAGTGACCTTTTCGTACATACCATAACACCGCCGCCCGACGTTTTAGTAGAATTTTTAGAATTCCGATCGAGACGGAGCACATCATATCGGTCATCACATAATTCAGTATTGTAAAAGCCAGAAGTTAACCAAGTCTCGGTGATTAGAATAATATCGAAGTCGTTCATGAGTATGTTCTCTTTTAAATCTAATGTTTTTGTGCGCAATCCACGGACATTTTGATAAAACAAACTTAGGTTATTTTTAATCATTGTTACTGTGTGAGAAGGTATAATAGTGTAAGCATATATTTATATATAGTACTAGTGATGATGACCCGTGATGTTTAAGCACAGAAATTTGAAGTTTTAACCGGCGCAAATATTTGCATTTTTTAATAACATTAAACATCCATAGGCAGGTGTGTAAGTTGTATTTGTGTAGAAGAGTGTTTTTATGAGTAGGTATATTGATCGTATGATTTTGTGTGTGTGGATGGTGGTTTTGAATGCTCAAATTAGGTAGTGTGGCTGTATACAATTTAATTTGTTTTGAGTAATATAAGCACTTATTATTAGAACTTATTATAACTAACAGATTCTCTCCAAATCGCGCCTGAAGTTTATTGTTATAACAGGAGATTCCTCGTTCCGGCGTAAAAAAATGCAACAGTTGCGAACCCACACGAATTTGAAGCCTTTTTTTGCAGCAAGAGCCTTCGCCTCTTTCAAAAGTTGCTTGTTTTCTGGGGTCAAATGCTCATTGACAAAGAACTTTTTCGATTCCCCTGACAATCCTATATCCAGTGTTTGAATGCCTCGCTTTCGACGTAAGCCAGATAAAATTTCATCCTTAATATCACGTGATTTTAGGCGCACTACGATTGTCTTTGGTTTACCAGATACAGACTGTTTCGGCTGAACGCGATTAGCATATTCGATGTGTTCATCCTGCAATACGACGTTTGCATGCTTTGCTATTTTTTTCACTAAGGCGCGTGTGGATTCGTTGGTGGAATGGGGTAGCCCAACAATCTCGAGGTTGTTCATCCTATTCCATTGCTGTTGTTTATTTATTTGAGATTGCAGTTCTTTAATAAGGGCATTATTGTTTTGGACATCATTTTTCAACATATTAACTTCCTCCCTGAGACACTCGGCCTCGTTTACAAATGGGGTGACGATTGACTTTATCTCTTCCCTTATCTCGCCAGGAAGATACATTTTCAGAGATTCTATCAGCTTAGATTCTAGGTGTTCAAGTTTGGAGTCTATTGCGTTGTTAATACCCTCTATTATGAACTTCTGTAACTCATCTTTTGATACGCAACGGTCGCTCAATCCTATATCCTTCTTATTACGCCGCGCCTTTGAAGTAGGTACATTTTCAGGTGAAATACTTTGACCGCGATCCTCTCTGCGTAAGCATGGAGTACATATCCATGAATTAATTAATGTCTCCGATGCAATATTCGCACATTCAATATGACAGCCTCTGAAGCTTTTTGTACACCTGATTTGTGTACTTATATCTAGGTCTCTGACGCAAGCAATACACTTCGGCATTGTTTGTTATTTATTTATATAGAAAAAGAAAAATTAAAAAACAAAATTCGAGATTCGATCCTTATTACTCTTCGTGACAAGCATCCAAAGAGCTATCGATGTGTGCCAATTACTTAGCGATAAGTATTGCGAATAAATTGAACATAACACAACTTGAGTTATTCAAAAAAGTTCTTACGTCTTATTTCAAAGTATTGGCCATCACAAATCACTTCCAAAAGACACTTCACTTTCACTGGTTCTTATGTTATGACTCAGGCGGCGAAGTATGACCAATTATTTCCAACGAAGTATGACGGTTGATCAAAAAAATTTCACAACTGAATAATTACAGTATACGTATATCTTTGCTTGCTCGTACACGATATATGTTGTAGGCGATGGCTTTGTTTATTATAATTCCTTTATTGAAGCTTTTTAAGCACTTATTCTATTTTTAATCACAAAAATTATACCGAGGCGACTTTGACTATGCGAGGTACCCGCGCTAACACCATTCTTTCCTTATTCTTTCCAGGAATTATTAATTGGAGATATACTACTGCGCATATGCAAAATATGTAACATTTTTATAATGTTTCTTTTTTCATTCGAAAGTACTTCTCAAATTTCTCGTCATAGTTGCTTCTGAATGAGCGTATGAAATGCACCATGATCTTCTCTTTCTGTTAACATGGGAGGTACCCAATGTCGTCTATGTATTTTTTCTCGTCTTTTTTTAGCTTTTTATACTTGTACCACGCAATAATACATTTCCTCTTTTTAACACTCAACATTTTATACGTCCACAATTCATTGAATGAAAAGAGCGTATGAAGGCGGCACCTCGATGGAACCGGGTCGTGTACAAACCGTCTTGTGTGCAAGCTCGGACGGTTCTACCCGGCGCCGGCCAAAAACCGGGCCGTGTTGAAACTGTCTCGTGGGCATGAGCCCTAAAACGATAATCTTGCTTTTATATAGAACTTTGTTTTGTTAGTATTTATTTTGCTGACGTATAATAGAAAAATCCAGTTATGAATGTTATGTTTAGGTTACGAGTACTCCCAGATATCTAGAATAAGTAGAAATTAGCTTAGTTACATTATTCGGTAGGAATTATTGCATCATATTTTATCAAAAATTTACAATCGGTCATAAATATTATATTATTGACTTCAGGTGTCATAAAGCCTTGGAACCTAAAGGCATTAACCTAACACAGATCATCACGGAAACTAATCCCAAGATTTATGACAACATCCTGAACTCCTTCATCGGGATTGCCGCCGTACAAATTGGTCTCACCGACGTCTTGAAGGCCATTGGCATTGAACCAGACTACATTATTGGTAAGTGTTCTACTTTTTCGTTCGACCCTTAAAAATAAAATGTTTCTATTGTTGTGACTAAATGTCATACCAGATTTAAGATCTGGTTACTAGATACTTCGAATATCGATAACAACTACTCTGCTTATTATTATTTAAGTTGTATTTGGAGATTGAAATAAAATAATAAAACCCATTCTTTGTAGGTCACAGTGTAGGAGAATTAGGTTGCGCATACGCAGACGGCTGCCTCACAGCGGAACAAATGATTTTATCAGCATACAGCCGTGGTCTTGCATTCATTGAAACTCCCACCATCAAGGGCGCGATGGCTACTGTTGGATTAGGATATAACCAGGTAAAATAAATATTATTGGTTTTTGATACTTCACACACATTTTTGAACTTCTTTATAGCTAACCAGGTACAACTGTACTACAGAAGTGGTGTTGCAAGTAAAATAAGATTTATTTTGATTTTCACTTTTTAAAATCTTCCACAGATCAAACCCCTTTACCCGCCTGAAATTGAAGTGGCCTGCCACAACAGCCCAGACTTCTGCACCATCTCAGGTCCTGCTGACATCATTAAGACCGTCATCACAAAGTCGGCGCAAAAGGGAATCTTTGTTAAAGAAGTGCCTTGCTCTAACGTTGCTTACCACTCGAAATACGTCGCTAAGGCTGGTAAGTCTAAACTCTCTAAAGTAATCTGGAAATCAGTTTATCATAATATGTATATTAAACTCGTGATAATATCCGTGAAAGTATTCCGTATCCGTATTTCAGAAAATTATCGCGTGTTAGCGATAATTCTGGCCCATACTCCATAATTAATTCTATTGTTTCTTTCATATATTATTTTGGATCTTAAAAAACAAAGATCGCTCCAGTATTATTACTATTACAAATAGTGGCTTTAAAATTTTACCTTATTAGGTGCAAACATTCTGAAGTACCTCAAAGAAGTTATTCCGAACCCGAAACCTGGCTCAGAAAAGTGGGTTTCAACGTCTGTTCCTCTGTCATCTTTGAAGGACGCCAAGACTCTACTGTCCTCTGCCGAATACCATACCAACAACATACTTGTGAGTAGTTTTATTAGCCAACATCAATTACAACCAAATTAGCTCGCATTAATAAATCCATAGAGACATCATGTTCTTCATCCATAACTGTAGTGTTATTAATGAGCTAGTTCTATTTACAATTTATTTATTTAAATACAGATAAAAAACCTGTTCGTTTACAGTAACTACTACCTAACACTGTTAAAAAACTTAAAAATTTCAATTAAACCTCGTCCAAAATTAAATATCGTCAAATAAAAAGTAATTATAATCGATTTATATCTCGCATATCATCTTCTACTTATACAATAACAACAACAACAAGTAATAGCACTTCTTACTCGAGACAACATCTGTCTTAAATTAAATTTTACATCGATCATATATATATATATATAGTTTTCTAATTCCGGAGATATTAAATTTTATGACGAGGAGTTATTGAAAGTATTTTTTTAATTAACTTTTTTTGCAGAGCCCAGTTCTCTTCGAAGAGACATCTCGTCTCATCCATCAAAATGCTGTAACGATTGAAATAGCGCCCCATAGCATAGTCCAGACCATATTGCGGCGATCACTACCAAAGGATGTCATCAATGTATCATTAGCACTGGAGAACGAGGACAATATCACTGTTCTACTCAATGCTTTAGGCCAGTTAGTATCTGAATTCTGCATATATATTATTATATGAAGTCTTTCAAAGGGGACAGGCCATTATATGTTAAATACCAACTGTAAAAGTAGAGTTTACCAAGCTTGTGCGACTTTGTGAAATTATATATAGGTATGTGAGAAAAATTTAGACAGAGTTAAAAAAGTACAATATACATATTTATATTTACTGAAAATTAAGAAATAATTTGGAAAAAATTAAATAATTTAAATGCTCATAATACTTTCATACCGTCTATGTTTTTTTAAAGTAAATAAATTCCTTTCCAGACTTTTCCAAGCTGGTTTAAATCCAAAACTGGCGAATATCTACCCACACATACAATTCCCAGTATCACTTGGTACACCAATGATCTCACATCTCGTCGAATGGGAACACAGTGAGGACTGGTGAGTTTTTGCACTACCTACACACATTCAGACGTACTAAATAAATGTAACGTAACTCTCTGTAATGTCATATCCACCTGTTTCATAGTATTACTATCAAACGCAATGGTATAAAATAGTATTAGCAAAGTACCTACCAGAATATTAAAGCTTACTGAGTAATTTAAACAGGATATTACGAGATATTTTATAAGTTTGGAGATTAGAGTTTCCAAAGAGGTAAGAATGCGTTTAAATGGCTCACAAAAGTTATACATAATATACTACCGGCACAACAAACGTTGTCCTTCATGATTATTCAAGCGATTAGGACATGAAACATAGTATTAAAGTACCGACTACAACGCCAGCTGCCGGGCTCATTTGTGAATCTAAACCATTCAGGGCGCCACTAATACAAAAAAATTCATTCAAATCGGTCCAGCTGTTTAAGATGGGTTCAGTAACATACACACGTACAGTTGAATTATATATATATATATATATATATATATATATATATATGTCGGAGATTTAACGCGATTAATAATTACAAAGTTGGTATCACTACCGTCGTCCGACATTATTTATTACTTAATATTTAAACACAGTCAGTGCGCACGTCCGGCGCTGGCGCCGATCGGAAAGCAACTCTAGCACTTTACGACCGATTCTACGCACTACTGACAGCTTGACTTTGACAATTGACACATTGATACTTTACAACCTGTAAGATGTCCATGATATTGCGTGGTGTTGCCATTGCGTGGTGTTGCCAATGTATTCAAATAAATTACACCGTGTTCTATTATAACCTAATCTCTGACATATATATCAAGATATACTTATACTTAGAAATAATGCATTTTTAATTAGCTCATCGTTCTGTAAATCACTTGCACAAGATGCTCCAGGATCGCAATAAGTGATTTCGTTTTAGACCTTTCCTTTTAATTGTATATCATATTTTTATCTCTTTGTTCTGACATCATAAAGTCACCGAGATTAGAATTTTTCATAGAAAACAATTTGTTGCGTTAAATTGTAATAAAATTTATTTAAAGGTTTGCAACATCATTCCGGACCAAAGAGAAGACGAAGTGTGGAGAACGAGTAGTCACTGTCGCGTTAGAAAATGAAGATAATGAATACCTCATTGGACACGTTGTTGATGGTAAGAATAATTTGATGTATGGTATTTCTGAAGTTAGTGGAGGTTGAATTTTATTTAATTTGGAAATTTTATGTACAAAAATGTCTTGTAGTTTTTTGATGCCGTAGTCTGTGTAGCTTTCGGCAGTCGATCTTTTTTTGAAGTGAAAATTCTTTAGGCGCATGAGGGTAAAATTTTACGGATGAAACGCAATAATAAGAATATTAGCGTCACGAACATATGCAGCGAGAGTGAGAAGGGCGAATTACCTTATAGAAATTCTATTTTTTAAATTAAAATTTCGAAAAGAGAATTTATGAAACGAAAATGAAACATTAGTATTTTAAATTTTATTCAAAATAATTTATCGAAATCTCAAATGACGAATTTTAAATTAAAATGCCACGTGTTTTTATTATCGATTTATAATTTGTATAAATTTTTGACGTTTCATATTTTAATGACAATTAAATTCATTAAATTCCTAACACATCTTCGTTTTCCCTCCCTCTAAGTCTCGGAAATCCAAAGTGTTAGATTTGTATAAATATGAACAAGACTTAAAAATTAGTTTGCCATAGAAGTTTCACTTCTGACATGTACACTTTATACGCACGCACTTTTTTTTAATACAGTAAATATGGTGATTTATGGCGAAATTATGTTTAAACAGAATATATGCAGTCAACTTGATGAAATATAGAGTTCCCAATTTTAACATTTGATTAAAATTACAAATTTGATATTATGTTCTTCTTCTCCAGGTCGTAACCTATATCCCGCAACTGGTTACCTGGTTATGGTATGGGAGACGCTTGGTATGATGATGGGTGAACTGAACACGGAAACATCTGTGGTCTTCGAAAATGTGCGATTCCAACGCGCTATGCCTATACCAAAAGAGGGCAATATAGAGTTCATTGTTATGATTCAAGAGGCCAGTGGTAACTTTGAAGTAAGTAATCAATAGAAGCATGTATGGGTGGACTTTTGGAATACTAAATATCGTATGATCGATCACTTGACTTATTATAATTTAGCATACATATTATACATAAGAGGATAATATATAACGATGTCCAAATTAGCTTAAACCAAGAATCCTGAGAGCCATGTCCCCTTGTAAGGCAGATAATGGTATCCGACAGCTGTGTAATTTTCAGTTCAACATTGCTAAACATAGTTCATGTTTCCGAGACCTGTAACTGTTTCTTTAGATTTAAATAATTTTATAGATTGTAGAGAGCGGCGCGTCCATTGTATCCGGTCGTATTTACGCCAAAAAGAACGTAGCACAGGATTACCTCGTACTCAAACCTGCGCCCGAAACAACTGGACCTAATGTTAAACACTTGCTTACGAAGGACTTCTACAAGGAATTAAGACTGAGAGGCTACCAATACAGGTAAGACACTACACTTTAAATGCAAAAAAAGAACTGTTTTTAATAAAGTATACAAAAACATACCAACTTATTTATTAGTTTTATCCAGTGGATTCATATTTTATATTATATTTATTAATCAGTTATAACTTTACAGCGGCTTATTCCGTGGCGTCATCGGTTGTAACACTGAAGGTACTCGTGGCCGTGTGGCTTGGGTCAATAATTGGGTCGCCTTCATGGACTGCATGTTGCAGCTTAAGATAGTCGGCAACGACACCCGTGGTCTGTTTGTACCTACAAGAATTGAGAAAATCAGTATAGACACCACTATGCATTACGACGCGGTCGCCAATATGAATCTAATATCAGATCGCCAATCGTTTGAAATACGGGTGTACCCAGATGTGGATGTTGTCAGGTAATCAATCACACAGCTTGCTTAAAAAAATATTCATCACTTTTGTGCCCAAGAAACAGCTATGTTTCATATTAAAAGGAAAGCAATATTGGATTTTGCACTTTTACATTGAAGTCTTTAAATAAAATTGATCCGTGTGTATTATTATATATCAACCATATACAGGGGCGGTGGTGTTGAAATACGTGGCCTCCACGCTTCTCCTATCTCTAAGAAAAACCCTATAGGTATTCCAGTTTTGGAGAAGAACGAATTTGTACCTAACTTTGGAAATACTAAGATGACGGTAAGTATTGGAATAATAAAAAGATAACTTACAAAATAAACACAAAAATTTATTTACAATTTGACGTAGGTTCTATGCTTCTTAATTTATTTTAATAATATTTATTACTATTTTCTTCAGACACATAAAAAAGACATTAGAAAAAAAGTGCGTGCGTACAAAGAACACATGTCAGAAGTGAAACTCCTTCGGCAAACAAATTTTTAAGTCTTGTTCATATTTATACAAATCTAAAATTTTAGATTTCCGAGACTTAGGGGGTCGGAAAAAGTAAGATATGTTAGGAATGTAATTAATTTAATGTTCATTAAAATATTGAAAGTGCCAAAAATTATACAAATAATAAATTTAATTTTTTAATTTAATTTCTTCGGTAATAAAAACACGTGGCCCTTTAATTTACAATTCGTCATTTGAGATTTCAATAAATTATTTTGCATAAAACATAAAATACTAATAAGTATTTCATAAATTCTCTTTACGAAATTTTAAAAATATAATTTCTATAAGGTATTTCACCCTTCTCACTCTCTCTCAATCGGTCTCAACCGCACTCTCCCTTTTCTTCGACAAAAACGCTGCACATCTTCGTAACGCTAATATTATTTTTATTGCGTTTCATTCGTAAAAATTTTACCCTCATGCGCCTAAAGAAGTTCACTTCAAAAAAAGATCGACTGCCGAAAGCTACTACAGACTACGGCATCAAAAAACTACAAGACATTTTTGTACATAAAATTTGCAAATTAAATTAAATTCAACCTCCACTAACTTCAGAAATACCATACATCAAATTATTCTTACCATCAACAACGTGTCCAATGAGGTATTCATTATCTTCATTTTCTAACGCGACAGTGACTACTCGTTCTCCACACTAAAAAACACTAAAAAGTAATGTATGTATAAAAGAGCATGTAACATGTAAATAAATTATTGTATTTATACTTTTTTCAATTCACAGGTTGAAGATATTCTTAGAGCCGACATACAACTCATTTTAGAAAACATCCAGAATTATAAAGTTAAAAGTATTGAATTGGTTGATGAGGAATACAAAATAAATGCCTACGAACCTATCCTGGAAAAAGTCAGCATAATCCTTGAAGATTTGCCACTTGTACAACCAGAATTCTTACTTATATCTGAAGAAACTATTGAAATGCCAACACACATAACCGTTGAAAACAAACAGCTATCAGGAGAAAGTAACACTATTCTATTTATTGGTGCTAATCTCCTGAACAGGCCGGAGGTAAGTCGTTGATTACTTGGAATTATCAAAAATGTTTTTGTGATCTAATAATTCAATACATTATTTGTGTGTCTAGATTCTACAACAAGCTGTATCTACACTCCGAGACAAATGTTTCTTATTGAGTCGTGAAAAGGAACGCCCCAACCCTAAAGACCACGCCGATAAATACGATATTATTACTATTCAAGATACTGGCGTTGAATACTTGGTCCTATTTAGAAAAAGGGTTGGTGCCAAACTAGCAAAATTCGTTCATGTTAAAACAGCCGATCAATCATACGCGTGGATTGAACAAGTTAAAGAGGAATTGAAGTTGGGCCAGAAAATTGTCATTTATAACCAAGATGAGCCACTCAACGGACTTTTGGGTCTTGTGAATTGTTTAAGAAGGGAGCCGGGTGGTGAGGTTGTTTATGGTCTGCTTATTGCTGATCCTTCTGCTCCAGCGTTTAATCCTGATTTGGAATTCTATGAAGAGCAGTTAGATAAAGACTTGGCTGTGAACGTTTATCAAGATGTAAGTTTTTACGCTTTAATTAAAATTTGGGAAGGTAACTCTCACGGGGAAGGTATGATAGGAATATTGCCCTAAGTGAACGTGCGCAAATTTGTGTTGATTAAATTGTTGAAATTTAATGTTTTAGGGACATTGGGGCACCTACCGTCATTTATTACTTGAAGATCTTGAAACCATTCGCGCAAACCACGGTTGCGTCAACTCAGTTACAATTGGAGATCTGTCTTCTCTAAAATGGCTCGAAGGACCAATAAGGGAAAACCAAAGTTTTAAGAACCCAGACAGCGTTCTTATTCACGTAAGTGTTACTCTTGGTCTTTCTTTTCTATTGCCATCTGTTGCATATTGTTATTAAATTAGTAGTCTGTATTCTTAAATTAAATAAATCCATCAAGCAAAAGTTTTATTTGCATCTTCATAAAATTAAACTTATAATGTTATGAATAAAAGGCCACTTATGATTTTTTGCGAAATAAGTTGAAATGTATCATGTTTTCGAAGGTTTATACTTCAGCGCTGAACTTCCGTGACGTGATGACGGCTATGGGTCGAGTCACAGTAGATGCCGTGGCTCAAGGACGTCTTGCACAGGAGTGCGTGCAAGGTTTCGAAACAGTCGGCAGATTATCTAAGTCAGTTAATTTATTTGTTGTACCACTATCATTTTGTGTTGTTTTACTTTATTTTATTTTGATAATTACTGACGGCTGCTTGAAATATTATATGTGAAGGAAATGTCATTTATTCATGTAGGTATCCTAGTAGCACTGACGAGAAGAACTAAACTAAGAAGAAGAATTAAACTCTGCGTCACTCTTTTAAATCGCCAATGTTTTTTTTACAAAATGTTTTGTAAGCATCTGCACCCTTTATTTCACGCTGTTCATCACATGCATTTAGTAATTATAATGAAAAATAAATTAATATGAAAACCAAATGATCCCATAACCATACCAATATTCTCAACAGTGGATCCCGTGTCATGGCCATGGTCCATAACAGTGGTATAGCGAATATGGTGGAAGGGAACAGAAATCTCATGTGGACTATCCCAGACGAGTGGACATTCGAGGAAGCTTGCACTGTACCCGTTGCTTACGGCACTGTTTATTATTCAATGGTAAATTTTCAATTAAATATATTTTAAAACTCTCTATAATGAAATTTGGTTATTGTTGTCTAAAGAGTGCAGCTAAACTTGGTACCTAGAATAAATTTATTTTTTTTGCGTAGAGAAGTAGTCAAATTATGAAATTATTTTGTACGGTTATTGAATATATAAATCGGAAATTATGCGAATTTTCATTCGCGGTTTTTTAATATATTACTACGTAATTTAATTTTATATGGAACCAACAAAGAAAATATTTGACTTTCGTGTCCTTTAGGTAATGGTTGGTCAATTAAAACCCGGGGAGAAGGTACTGATACACGCGGGTTCTGGAGGTGTGGGTCAAGCAGCAATCAATGTCGCATTGCACTATGGCTGTGAAGTGTTCACTACTGTCGGAACGCCCGAAAAGAGAGATTTCATCAAGAAACTCTTCCCGCAACTTAAAGGTATCGTTTTTAGACATAATAATAAAAGCCTTTTATTTCAGATACTTGGTACATATAAATACATTTATATGTAACACTATTCAATCGTTGGTATTGTTGGTGTGCCCTTTTTAGATAAATCCCGCCATTTCTGTCTGCACTGTACCACTCTCTGCCACATTAAAATATTATGATCCCTTTTTTTATGACTACGAATGTGGTAATTAACTGGATATGATGAGTAATGTAAAAATTATAATGAATTAGTTGAATATGTTAATATAATGAAATGGCATTTTTTTCTTGACAAAGATTAATATTAGACTAATTTTCATTTTTTTTATTAATGTAGTTCCGTGAAACAAAAGAATAATACAATATGTAAACGAAATAGAAACAACAAATATTCATAGCAGTGTTAGCACCGCGGTCTTTATTAATTAACCCTGAGGTCATTGATTCGGTGAATCTATGATTTTCCTACTATGTCCGATTATAACTCTTACTCATATGGTGGAAAACATCATGTAAAAAAATCAGTGGCGCAACTTTTTTTAGGTCTGGGCCTCAGATTTCTGTACGTGTTCCATGATCATTTGTGAATCTAAAAACATCATGTAGGAGTTTTTAAATCAACACAATCTACGACTTAATGCTTAATACTTCATCTTTAAGAAATTGTCAATTACACAAACCAGAATACTGAGAAAATCCCATCAAAGGGTTGTAATAATCCATCGGCTACACTGGATTTTGCGAGGACAAAATAATAACGCTGATAGGTATTTAGTTAGTTAACTTCGGCTTTAAGTATAAATATCTTAATTTTACAGACAGCCATATCGGAAACTCGCGTGACAGCTCATTTGAAGACATGGTTCAACTCCAGACCAAAGGCACGGGAGTTGACATGGTTCTCAACTCATTGTCTGACGACAAACTTCAGGTATTGACCTAACCTAGGTACTTATAGATCATATTTAGATGTGAAAAGGGTGTAACTTAAGCAAAAAAAATACAAACTTGAAATTTAATAATTCAAATGTATTTCACAATCACAGTAACGAATGATTTGGTTTTTATTATTTTGATCCGAATAATGACGTAGACATATGTATGTAGTAATGGATATAATCTATACCATAATTGCGTATGAGTCGATTTCATTAATATTTTTAAACCAAGTAGGCGATCAATATTCTGTAATCCAAAACTATTATTTCCCGGAGAATAGCACGTACCTCGGGGGCCGAGTGCACTCAACCATGCGAACAAAATGGTCATAAAAGTGGAATATTGGATATAAATTTAGTTATGAATCATTGTTTTCATTATTTAATTATCGATAATAATTGCAATATCACGCCAAAGGGGCCGCTTTATATCAGTTTTGGATTTTCTCGTAAATTCCTCAACAGTAACTGATGGGCTTTTTTATTGGCATAAAAAAATTGTAATAAGTGTTTTTTTGTTTAAGTCCAATAAGGTTTTTAACGTATTATTTTTGAATAAACTGGTCCTGTCTCGACTCAGAATCTTCCCTTAAGTAATATCCAAGTGCCAAACAACCATTTATTTTGTGATATATTGTATAACTGTTATTAATGATTGCGATTGATACGCTTATGTATTTATTCGATTATTTTTTTACAAAGCATCTGTCATTTTTAAATTATATCAGGCATCAATCCGTTGTCTCGGCTTCCGCGGTCGCTTCATAGAGATTGGTGTCTACGACATCAGTAACAACACTCCCATCGGTATGGACTTCTTCCAAAAAGAGACTTCCTTCCACGGCATTCTGTTGAACTACATCTTCGACCAGAGCAAGGAATTCATAAAGGTTTGGAATATATTAAGTAATAAATAAATTAAGTAAATATATATTAACAATGAAATTCATTACTTAAAGCATTTTACGTACTAAGTTGAGGTATCCTACAGTATTTTTTGACACTAAGCTCAATTGCAAGGTTTGCTTCGTTCATCGAATATAAAAATAAAATATTTTGTTTAAGAATTACTTACTGTGAATCATCTACAAACTATGCAAAGTTGGGTTATGTATATGGTCGTAAAGGTCTTTGGTTCGCAAATGCAATCCAAGTTTGAAGTAGTCACATTGAATAATGGTGTAATTGTTCATATTAATAAAAATGTTCTGAATCTAGACGTTACAAGATCTCCTAGTAACGGGAATTGCAAGTGGTGCGGTCCGTCCCCTGACGTACTGTACGTTCCAGAAGAACGAAGTCGAAACTGCCTTTAGGTACATGTCGGCCGGAAAGCACATCGGAAAGGTAAAATATAATTTTCTAAGACCACTATTCCAATAACTTCAAATATTTTTAATATTATTTATCCCGTTTTGTACACGAACTGAATCTGACTATATGTTTAATATGACACAGAGTTATATTATATTTATTAATATATTTATAAAGTATTTTATATATATATTATTTAAATAATAAGGGTAGCTTCCATCTTTGGTATAATTTAAAAAAAATGTTGTGTTTAACCGTTCTATTTTTAGTATGTCCAGAATTTGAATATATAACGCAAACCCATTTCGTTTATTCTGCAGGTAATAATTACGATTCGGGAGGACGAACGCACAAGCAGCCCAGTAAAGCCCAAAATCCTGCCTTTAGATGTATTTCCAAGGTACAGTGCGGTGACAATACATTAAAACACATTGAATTATTCAACTAATTATACTAAGATTAAAATCTTTAACATCTCCATGTAATTTTTTTTTCAATAGATACATGTGTCAGGACGACATGTGTTACGTTGTGGTGGGAGGTCTGGGTGGTTTCGGTCTGGAGTTAGCAGATTGGCTTATCCTTAGAGGGGCGAGAAAAGTGCTTCTCACGTCTAGAAGAGGCATCTCTAATGGTTACCAATCATTCAGAATGAGGTATAGTAAATTGTCTCTGATAATACTAGTGATAATGTGGGTCTATAACATATGAAATATATATATATAAGTAAAATATTGTTACGAAGACGGGTCGACTGCAATGTTTTTAGATTTTTCCACTAGTTAGAGAACTTTTCAGCAGGCTGAAATGTGATTTCTGACCGTTTCAGGAGAGGGTCAATCACATATTAGAAAATCGTAATTTACATAATGTTACCCTAGTTTTCAGGAGCCTGAAACATTTTTTCAGGCCGTTTCAGAACACGTGTAGTCGAATGGTACACTTTTCAGGAAACCCGTTTTCAGGCGTTTTCAGGCCTGGTTATACCCCTTTGATGAAGGAATGTTCTAGAACGAATTTTCTAGGTGTGGGAGAAGGACGGAACGATACGCGAGAGAGAGGGAAGATCGGAACCTTCTCGAAGCTAGACCGAGCACTCTAGAACGCCGTACGACAAGGACGGAGCAATGTGCGAAAGAGATAGCTAGTACGCACGTTCTAGAATTTTGCGATCGCTACTCAGTTGCGCCGCCGCCTAGAGAGTTCTCGAACATCGCTCCCAGGGATATATAAGCGAGCCGAAACGCGACCGATTAGTTCAGTTTTGAATGCGATACCAAGCGATAAACACCGGAGTGACAAAGTGCGAATATAGTGAAGAAAAGTGAATACAAGTACTGTGTGAAGTGCGTGATATTAGAGTAATTAGTGACAGTATTTTGTGTGTGTATTTAGTGAATTTTTGTGCGTAATTTCAAGTTTATAGTGTTAACAAATTCCTCGTAGATTTAATTGAAAATAAACCCTTGAAGAGATTTACGGCGTTTCTATCCGATCCCCTAGCTCGTAACATTTTGGTGTCAGAAGTGGGATAGAAAAATGACAATTACTCCGAGGGAGAATCAAGAGGAGTTTGTGGCCGAGTCTCCAGCTGCGGAGGGAGTGCAGACAAGGGCACAATCAGCACGCGACGCCGCCCGGCGACAAAGTTTCGATGCGAACCGCGGGATGGCCGAAAGCAACGATAGCAACATCCTCCTTGCCCTGCGCCAAATGATGGAAGAACAGGCTCAGACACGTCGTATGATGGATGAACAGGCACGTCGTCAAGAGGAACAGGCACGACAAATGATGGAAGAACAGGCACGACGTCAAGAGGAACAGGCACGACGTCAAGAGGAACAGGCACGACGTCAAGAGGAACAGGCCCGTCATCAGGAGGAACAGGTTCGGCGATTGATGGAGGAACAGGCTCGCCGTCAAGAGGAACAGGCACGCCAAATCGTGGAAGAGCAGGCTCAGACACGTCGTTTGATGGAGGAACAGGCTTGCCGTATCGGAGAAAGATTAGGAGATCTAAAACGAGAAGTAGATAAAAAAAATCGAGAACTTGGAATCTGATATGGACTGCAAATTTTCGAAACAGGACAAACGTATTCTCGGATTAGAACAAGAGATGCAGTGCCTGAAGACCAAAGGTGTCATAACGACTGTAGCACCATCTGGAAATCTGAAAGTACCTCCCTTTGACGGTACATCTTCCTGGGGCGCGTACAAAATACAGTTTGAGACTGTGGCAGAGTCAAACGGGTGGAATGACGATCAGGCTGTCACCGCCCTTATGTTGGGACTGCGAGGCGAAGCCCTGGACGTGTTAGAAGTCATGACAGGTAAAGTGACACTGACGCGCCTGCTGGATGCTCTGGAGTCACGTTATGGGGACTCAAATTTGGAGCCAGTCTATAGGGCTCAATTACGGGAGAGAGCGCAGCGACCGAGTGAGAGCTTGCAAGAATGGGGTCTGGAAATAGAGAAGCTGGTAAGAAAAGCCTACGCATCCTTACCAGATGTAGCAGACAAGATATTAGTGCAAACCTTCATTGACGGAATAAGAGATCGTGAAGTCAGGTTGAGTGTGAACCTTGGTCACCACAAGAACCTGAAGGATGCTCTAGCCCATGCGTTGGAGGTGGAGGCGATTCAGAAAGATTCTCGACCTTACCGCATTAGGGCTGTCACGGAAAAAGCAAACTCGTGTCAACGTGGACCAACCTGTTACACGTGTGGGGAAGTGGGGCACATGAGGTTTTCGTGCCCAAAGAAAGACTTCCGAGGTGATGAGAAGGTTAGACGCGGGAATACCTTGGTTATCGACGGAGTAGTCAATGGAACTAAGTGTGACTTAACACTAGACACCGGAGCTTCACGAACCGTAATCAGATACCAACTTCTGAAGTCATTTTATGGAAGCCCTTCTCGAGGAAATGTACAGCTTGTTACAGCTACAGGTCAGCGTATAACCGATCGGGGAGAAGGTATCGCAACCTTCAATATTGGTGGAAGATTTTACAGACATAAGGTTGTTCTTGCCGACATAGTAGATGACTGCATAATCGGGCTAGACTTTATGAAGCTGTACAATTGTAAAATAGATCTGGAAAAAGGAATCTTTAAGTGTGGAGAACAGGAAGTTTGCTTAAAAGGACACTCTACAAATAGTGGTTATGACGTCTGTAGAGTTATCAATGTGGATGGACAGGCCAGTAATCAACAAGAGTGGAAAGTTACTGAGACCTATGAGGAAGCCTTGTCAAGACAACTATCAAAGGCAGAGGAACAATTAAGGAAATTTTCGGACATGTTATCTGCCCATGAAAGAGAGGTTACAAGAAGTTCAGATGTGTCTCAACGGCTATGTGAAAAGGTCAACAAAAAGGACAGAAAGGAGATTGGCCATGTGAGAACTTTTAGAACAGACACCATTCATTCAGATTGGGGTGGAAAATTTATGCAGATAGCACAGCAAGAAGATTGTGACATTAAACCAATTCTGAATTGGATGAAATCTTCAGCTGTCAAGCCGCAGTGGAGTAAAGTCGCATCTACAAGTACCGCTACTAAGAGTTACTGGGCTCAATGGGATAGTTTAGTTCTACATAATGGAGTGTTATGTCGCAAATTGAAAAATGCTCAAGGCGATCATTTGCAGATAGTTGTGCCAAGATCCAAGGTTCACGACATATTGGAAATGTTTCATACTGACTTGTCTAGTGGACATTTAGGAGTAAAGAGGACTCTTATGAAGATTAAAGAAATATTTTATTGGATACACTATCGTGAAGATGTTGAAGACTGGATCAAGAAATGTAAAGATTGTGCAGCTATTAAGGATTCGCAGACTCGGTCTCCATGGAAAAGGATAACAGTGAATGAAAGTGATGATGCTCGGGACGAGCATGTCTAAGGAGGGGGTAGTGTTACGAAGACGGGTCGACTGCAATGTTTTTAGATTTTTCCACTAGTTAGAGAACTTTTCAGCAGGCTGAAATGTGATTTCTGACCGTTTCAGGAGAGGGTCAATCACATATTAGAAAATCGTAATTTACATAATGTTACCCTAGTTTTCAGGAGCCTGAAACATTTTTTCAGGCCGTTTCAGAACACGTGTAGTCGAATGGTACACTTTTCAGGAAACCCGTTTTCAGGCGTTTTCAGGCCTGGTTATACCCCTTTGATGAAGGAATGTTCTAGAACGAATTTTCTAGGTGTGGGAGAAGGACGGAACGATACGCGAGAGAGAGGGAAGATCGGAACCTTCTCGAAGCTAGACCGAGCACTCTAGAACGCCGTACGACAAGGACGGAGCAATGTGCGAAAGAGATAGCTAGTACGCACGTTCTAGAATTTTGCGATCGCTACTCAGTTGCGCCGCCGCCTAGAGAGTTCTCGAACATCGCTCCCAGGGATATATAAGCGAGCCGAAACGCGACCGATTAGTTCAGTTTTGAATGCGATACCAAGCGATAAACACCGGAGTGACAAAGTGCGAATATAGTGAAGAAAAGTGAATACAAGTACTGTGTGAAGTGCGTGATATTAGAGTAATTAGTGACAGTATTTTGTGTGTGTATTTAGTGAATTTTTGTGCGTAATTTCAAGTTTATAGTGTTAACAAATTCCTCGTAGATTTAATTGAAAATAAACCCTTGAAGAGATTTACGGCGTTTCTATCCGATCCCGTAGCTCGTAACAATATGTTACTATGATTGTTAGGAAACAGTCTTTGTAGCTTAGTACTTATAGATTTCTTCGATGTTTAAGAAGCCTTACTTTTCTATTATTATTGAAATTTTAGAAGGCTGTCTTTTATTTATTTTAAAGTATCAAAGTATTTGATGGTACGAAATCTGTTTAGATAATTTTTATCCGTGTTCTTCAGGACATGGGCTAGTTATGGCGCTGATGTGCAAATTTCAACCCATGACGTTACAACTGAAGAGGGTTGCGAAAATATGCTTAAAATGGCAGCAGAAATGGGCCCTGTAGAAGCAATATTTAACTTGGCCGTAATTCTAAAAGATTCCATATTCCAAAACCAAACCCCGGAGACTTTTAAGACCTCGTACGGACCCAAAGCTCAAGCTACAATCCACCTTGATAAACACTCAAGAATACTATGCCCGAAATTAAAGTAAGTTTGCCTTAATGTTTTCTAAGGTTCAGCTTCTTTAGACAAATTTTTTCACAAATGCATTCTTTATTACAGCAGTCTCTGTCTATAAAGCTTTCTTGTTATATTGATACGCGAACAATACAATAAATTTGTATCACACAATGCTTAGGATTTTCGCAAAAATCTTAAAAACTCTATCAAACGACGTAAATTAAGTAATATCACATACGTAAACTTTGTAACAGGGACTTTGTGATTTTCTCATCGGTGTCCTGTGGCCGTGGTAACGCTGGTCAAACTAACTATGGATTCTCTAATTCGGTAATGGAGAGGATCTGCGAACTAAGGAAGAGAGAGGGTCTTCCAGCGCTAGCCGTACAATGGGGAGCTGTCGGAGACGTGAGTCTTAAAAAATCATTCATAAACACTAAATTAGTCAAACCACAGTGTTTGAAATAACATAATAATAATCACACATTTTATTATCAATCCTCAGGTGGGTTTAGTAGCAGATATGCAAGACAAGGACATTCAATTGGAGATTGGCGGAACTCTCCAGCAAAGGATCTCTTCTTGTCTCCTCTCTTTAGACAAGTTCCTTAAACAGGACGCTGCAATCGTATCATCTATTGTAGTTGCTGAAAAGAGGACTGGAAGATCGGGATGTGGAAACATTGTGGACGCTGTCGCTCAAATTATGGGTACAATAACTTTTTTCACAAACTGATTGATTGTTTTTGACAGTCATTGTTTTCGATAGTTTTATATTTAAATTTATTCTTTCTTATTGCTTTCTATGTGTTATCTGTCCATATAAACTTCTGACATACATTTTAGTTTAAATTCTAATTATTTGCTTATTCTTAGTCCTAAAGTAGTTAATTTGCTCAATGCTTTCTTCTAGTTATTATGTATATCCTAACAGGTATTAAGAATCTTAAGATGGTTTCCCAACAAGTATCACTTGCCGAGCTGGGTATGGACAGTATGACGGCAGTGGAAATCAAACAGACACTTGAGAGAGAATTTGAAGTCTTCCTGACTGCTCAAGACATTAGAACTTTAACATTTGCCAAGTAACCAACAACATTTTTACTATTACAAAAAAAAAATATTCTCAACTTCTACTAAATCGTTGTTTTCATAAACATTTTTTGCAGTACTGACAATTACAGCGTTAAGACACAAAATGGCTTTACATTCCTTTAAATTCTTACAGATTAGTAGAGTTAACAGCACAAAGAGAAGAAGCTACGACAATTCAGACGATTGCTGTTCAACCGGTTATCTCCGATGCTGCAGTTGGTATGAAAGTTCTGATGAGAAACTTTGGTGATGAAAAGGACATTTCAGAGCCCTTCATATTCATGCCGACGTTAGTTAGCGATGGCACTGAGGTACACCTAATGAATAATGAATAAATACTTGAGTAATAATATATGTATCGAACAGATTCATACTTAATCCTTAACTTAAACTTAAATTTTTATACGACTTATCTCAAAGTGAACAGTAAACTAAGTCTGTATATTCCATTACATTAATATTATTTATTATCTACAACAGTCTGATGTAATCATAAACAAGGACGAAAAAGTAATGTTCCTGTTACCGGGTCTTGAAGGAACGGCCTCTACCATGATACCGCTTTGCAAGAGGCTCAAAATTAAGTGTTGCGTCCTACAATATGGCACAGAGAATAAAAACGAGGACATCGATAGTATGGTCGAGAGACTTTACGAGGTAAGTTGATTGTATAATAACAATATGTCATATCTCACCAATTTGATTCATATATTATAAAATAAAAGAGAACGAACTTAAATGTCCTTAAATACACGGCAATTTAATTTTGTTTTAACAAATTTAAGTCTTAATGTTGACCAAGCCCAATTATGGTAGGGGAGCCCACGATGCTAAATGGGGATTTACTCGAGGGTAGTGACCTATTGGGATGCAAAGCTTAGATGATAAGAAGAAAAAAATGTTATATGATATATATCTTTTCATCGGTGGGGGAAGCGGCTTTAGATTGTTAAATATGTAAAAAAAAACTGTTGCATGGACATCCTCGAGCGCGTCAGATATTGAGAGCATCAATGCCCTACGTATTTTTAATAATGTACGTATGTTAATCTGATCGTTTGCATGATGCAGGTGGTTGTATTTAAGGGTTGAAAATGAAAAAAAAAAAAATTATCGAGCGCGTCAGATTTTTTAAGGGAGTGTTAAGTGCACCAAAAAAAAGCTCTCATTCACTAATCTGACGATTTCGATGGGACGCAAACCCACGGCCATTTTCATAATTTGCAAAAAAAAAATCGCAATTTTGAAATACTCAAGCGCGTCAGATTAAGATATATGTGGTTCATCTTTATGTTCTAAACGTACTGTCTCATAATCTGACGATTATCTAGAGGGATTCGCCTGATCTGACAAAAAAAAATAGAAAAACGGTTCACCTTAAAGGCCATCCCTGCAACTTCACGCTAATTCCATTCCTGGGCGCTTAAAATTGATAATTTAAGTTCCCTGAGTTCAAAGAAATAATATTTCTATGCATTTGAGCTCTCCCAGCTCGAAAGTCTGATAGAAGTTTCATAGAACACTATTTTTGGAATTTTCAAACCGCAATAACTTTTGAATGGATCAAGCCATTTTCACACGGTTGTCGGCATTCGACGCAGTTTTATCATCCTCATAAGTAATTTTGCAATTTTAATTGATCGAACCACAAATTTCGGAGTAATTCCGAAAAAACACTTTTTCGGGTTTCTTTCGTTCACGATATCTCTCGAACGAATCAACCGCCTTTGACCAGCTTGGTGGCGATCGACGTGGTTTTTCAAGCTCAAAGGCGGATTAGTTTTTGAAGTTGATCGATAAAGAAACCACTTTAAAAAAAAATCTTTTTTTTTTAAGATTTTTCAAAATTTCTCAAAATCTATCGGTCCGAATCGGTTCAAATTCACAGGAAATGTAATTTTGAGGGAAATATTTAGAACGCCGTTTAGTAGATTCCGATCGGTTTAAGGAAATGTAGGCATCACGCAGCTGCACGCATTTAACTTTATCGACGAAATTTTGTTATTTCGGCTTGCGGAAATCGTCAGATTATATATTTTTCATTATTCTTGAATTATTTCCTTCAAAATAAAAAAAAAATAGCTACGCTCGAGAATGTCGAGATGACGTTTTTTTTTACAACTTTGTTGCCCTCCCCTTTTTTTACGTCACTCTCAAATTGTCAGATTAGTGGAATATACACTTTTTAGGATGTAATTAACTTACCCTACCTTAATCTGACGCGCTCGGGAATTTCTGATGGTCAATTTTTTTTTACTAATCTGATTCAGTCTCCTTCACGGGCGGCCTTATATATGGACCTCATGTTTTGTGGAGGTACTTAACTGGGTACAAGGTATCCCCCTATATATTAATCTGCCGCGCTTTAGTAAATCCCGAAATCCCCTCTTGGGCTCCCCTACCATTAGTTATATATATATTATACTAGCAGACCGGCCAAGCGTTGCTGTGACTTAGGTTTTTGTTATATTACATACATAGTAGCAAACTATTCAAGGGAAACGGTAGGAGAACACCAGTCATGGGGACCACCATGCTTTTATGGTGGTTATGCCATTAAATTGATGCTTATGTGAAACGTTGGTACTTTCAACACAGCGCCATCTGTTAGAATTATGACTATAAAATAATAAACAAATATTTTGCAATAAAATAATATTGCGGGTATAAATTGAGACGTAAGCTATCCTATCTTTTAAGTTGGATCAAACTACACACGGTGTGCAAATTTGAATGAAATCGACAAACAACGTGACACGTAATTTATATATATTAAGATAATATAGGCACAGATAATTATAACGAAAGCATTGAAACTATTTTTGTATTGAAATGTATGCAATTATACGTTATTATTATCAATGAATTAACTTCAACTAGGACCTTGAAAATTTATCCTGTAGTCTATACCTTTTTATTTATCTAAATCTTTTGTTCGTTTTTGCAGACGGTCAAACTTCGACTTAACCCAGGAGCGCAATTTACACTTCTTGGATACAGTTTTGGTTCCTCGCTTGCTTTGAAGCTTACGGCCAGACTCGAAAATGAAGGTACTGCTTTAGAATTTTTCATTATCTTTAGGATCGACAGGTCAGATGCAACATGACCCAATAGATCGCATTTGCATCACTTCTTTGATCATCTATATTGCTTATTCATGCACAAGTGAAAAACGTAGATATTCTTAATGGTTTAGATTAAAGAACACCAACGTTTTGTTTCATAATATTATTATTTTGGAATAATATTACAATATTGTATTTTGTTTTAGGTCATCAAGGTTCGTTATTCATTGTCGACGGTTCACCCGATTTCTTATACGGGTTTCTCTCTATGTTAATGGACATTCAAAATGACACTCAGCTTCAGAACAGTCTTATTTGTAACGTAATTGACTTGGTAGCTCCCAACAACGAAATCCCAGATCTCATGGAAAGACTTAATGAAATCGAGACATATGATGATAGAATCCAGTACGCCGTAAAGGCATGCCCTGCCCAACACAATTACTCCAATAAATTCATTACTGACATCTCAATTGCCTGCTTTAATAGAATGAAAATAATTATCAACTTAAAAACTATAAGTTTCAAGAAACTTAAAACGCCTATCACCCTTCTTCGTCCTAAAAAAACTCCATCGTTGCTTGCAATTGAAGAGAACTACGGTTTAGACAATTTTACGGAAGGTAATGTCACCGTACACTTATTGGAAGGCAATCATCATTCTATACTGGAAAACAAAGACTGTGCTACCATTATTAATGCAGAGTTATTAACAAACGACTCGTCAAACACGAAGGCAGAAAGCAATGTTGTGACCAATATGATAGAAAAAGAACGCTCTCTTCAAGTTTAATTGACACTGTTTATAAAACTGGCTATACGGACTTATTTAAGAGAAAAGTTATAAATTATAGATCTGAGTGTGTTTACCTGTAAATTTTAATCTCTTTAAAAAGAGGACCTGCAGTACAAATCATCATTAAATAGAACATAGTTAATCAAGTTGTATAGTTAACTTTATTTTTTAGGATTAACTTGGGGGCAAAGCGAATAAAGTATTTTGTTACAGACGGTGTTTTATTTAGTCGCTTTACCATAAACTTTTGACTTAACGAATTTTTTACTAATCACTTTTTATTACTTTCTTTTTTGAACCAATTCGACTTAGGATCCTTCAAGAAAAGAGCGTACCAATTCCTAAAAGGTCGGCAGCGCGCTTGCGAGGCTTCTGGCAGTGCGAGTGTCCATGGGCGGCGGTATCACTTAACATTAGGTGATTCACCTGCCCGTCTGCCTCCTGTAAGAAAAAAAACACAAACATTGCATTCTCATTAGGCGTCTCATTCCTATTATAAGAAGTGGATTGCCTGAGGCAACTGATCAACTCTAGATCACTGGTACATATTAACGTACCTTGTAGATCTACTAATAACGACTGAAAAATGTAACAGCCGTCTAGATTACGCCGACTTAAGCATTTAATACTTTGCCATTCATAAAACAAAGTTTATATAATAAAAATACAATGAAATCTATAACAGATTTAAAGCATGTTTAGTTATCTTAAATAATTTGATAAATATACTTTATCGTACAGTCAGTTTATAACATTATTATAATGTCAATTATTTAGGCGAGTTGAAATGCATACGAAATTAAAATGCATTTTTTACTAAAATGTGAAAATAATTGTGATATTTCTATTTCAGTAGGGTAGTGTAAAAGAACGTTACGTGTGTTTGATAGGAGGTAAAGGTTAACTTCATTTATTTTACGCGTAAATTGAATTCCCTTCATTTGAAATGTATTAATTTTAAAACGATTAAAACTTTGCACTATATTTATTTATCAAATACAATGTGAAATTATTACTGTTTATTATAATTAAAAATTACTTCAAGAACATCTACAAGATAGGTTTTAGGCAATTTGTGATCACAATTGCAAAACACATGCAATTAATATAAAAATCTTAATCAAATAAAGACATCATATTTTACTTTTAACAATTTACTTCAGGAATATATAAAATAATAGAAAAAAATATTAAACACACAGGTTATCTTATAACATCGTTAATAATTCTAAAAAGATTTAGATTTAACACAAAAATTTATATCGTGATAAGTGCTATTATAAATTCAACTATCATTACCAATTACAATTTTCTTGCATGTGAACATCCTTTACTTAATTAATTTTTTAACTGTCCGTTTTATAAACAACAATCGTTGTTGTCTTGTGTCCAGACACGGAGTGGTGTCCGGCCAGTGTTGACGGTCGATTTCCATTTCATTATAGTGATTTTCATTTGTGAAGAATCAAGGTAATTTCTACTATTATTACTGGTAAAATTGTTTTGGTAAGACGCTTCGTTATTTTTGGTAATGTGGTTAGATAGTCACTTATGTTTATACACTTTTAAGATGTTATCTATACTTCATTGTTGTAAAGCTAAATATTTTTTTTTACTTTTTAATGCTTAAACGCTTATTTGTGGAACCGACAGTTTCATTTTTTGTTGGACAGGCCATTTATCTAGGAGTATAGGCATCTATGCAAAAATTGCATTGTACCTACAAATACAACGTTTCAAATATTATTCGAAACAATGGAAAATAAACTAATTTTCATTACGATGTACGTAATCGAAAACGTATTCATGTACTTATTTTTCCTGTAACTGAAAACACACAGTTCTTAAACTTCCGTCAAAAGGTAACTTTTAAGTAGAAGTAAACATTGTAATTGTAAAATAACCGTGAGTTCAGTACAGATTTGCGCTATTACTTCAGTGCGACAAATATTTGTATTAAAAATTTAGTTCGGCGTGTTCCTGTAAATGTACCGTACATGTATTTTCTTGTACAATTTTAGTTACCGATAGTCATGTGATGGTCCGATTTCAGTCGTAGGTTCCTTACAAATTATTAAATAATCTAACATAACATAAATAGTTTTATAGTTGTATAAAAATAATATATACATTATACACCGTAGAAGCTGGTGGTCGTCTTTTAAGTGTTATCCCAGAATTCAAACATATGATTCAGTTCTCTTTGGGATTTATATATTTAGAGATATTTTACAGCTGAAACAGTAGCTGTTCAAAATTTTACGTCTATTCAGGACAAATTTCGTATATTTTGATAAACTACTTTTTGTTGTTTTGCCACAGCCTCGCATTCCAGGACTACGTGGGTGAAAGATGTTGTATATAAATATAAAAAGATTTAATGACTAAATTTCTTATTTCATTACGTCTAATCTAAGAAATTATACAGGTATTTAACAAAAGAGACCTTTGAGAAGGAAATCCTCGTTCATATGTAGGAATAGATATTTCAAGTAGCTTGAAGAAGTTATATGAATAACAACATCATATAATATGTTAGTTTGTTAGAGGTAAATCACAATTATATAATAAACTAGCTGGCCTGGCGAACATCGTACCGCCTAACAGTCGATTCTTTATTTTTTTATATACTTATTCTGCTATTCGGGACACCGGTCTAGCGAGTAAGATAAAAAAAAGAAAGTTGATAAGACAACAAATACATTATGTCAAAAAATAAAAATTTAAATTAAACTATAGCAATGTGCTTTAGGTCTATAAGTCATTAGCACTAATTGTCTCGGTCATAACCAGTTTGCGAGTGCGCATATCAGACATATACCCATCTCTTTCCTACTTATAATTAATCCCTTCCGAGATTGTAAACTTGACCTTTTGTTAGTGTTTTGTTTGCGCTGCGACTGCGCAGGTCTGGATTACGTGTGTTATGTGAAAAAAGTGAAAAACTCAATATGGTAAGAAAGTGATGTGTACAGTGTAACAGGCTTTAAATGTCAGGGAGTAAGATCAACTTGAGTATTTTCATACAATTATAAAATATTGTTACTTATTAAGTCAAACCAAAAAACTCGTCGATCTGAGCTTATTTGTAATTCATCGCATCGCAAATAAAACAGGTAGAACGAAACAAATTGGTTTATACATTTTTTTATGAAGTTTATCGTTGGGATGGATTTAAATGTAATAACATTTTAAGTGCATTAGCGGGCGAGTAAATAGAATTATCTAAAGGAGTTCATATTAGCAACCTCCTGTTACCGACCATAACATGGACAAGATTTTAATACCAGTCAATTAATAAAATGTGATGGAGGACGCAAAGTAAATTAAGATTGCGTAAGCATTATTCTTCTTTAATTTTAATAAGAATGATTACTTTTAGCCATCCGTTCGTTTCCGTCTATACCTAATAGTTAATTGTTTAAAAACTATTCAACTGTTCCTTAAGAAATCTTATAAATACAATTATTAGTACAAGCGACGTAGTTAGACATAGTAACAACAAATCCGCGTAGCGTGTTACAAATATATTCTTTACATTTATTTCATGTTAGCAAGTCCATACCTTTAATGCGAATAGAACCGAGGCCCTTGCTAACCGCACGAAATACGAATCCGTAACTACTAAGTACTAGCTGAACAGTCATTTGACATTATTTAAAACTGTCTAATGGGCCTTACGATCGTATTATCTAATTTATTTGAAGTAAACATAATCATTCGTAAAGTTGGCGTATTTATCTATATTAACCGATTAGGATCTACCGACGTTCAGAGCACAAGAGGCTTTTATTTTCACATAATTTTAAGCGAAGTAAACACATAAAACTTAATTAAATAAATACCGAAACACAAATCACACTTACATAGTCAATTCTTGACGAAAAAGTAAAAACCGATGACGTTATTATGATCCTTTAAACTAGCTTCCGCCTACGATTTTAATATCCGGAATAAAGGCAACGTACAAGCTATTCAATATTTAATATATTCTAAAAGATCCATATACAGATAAAACCAAAACAAAAGCAATGCAATAGTTCATTATACTTATTAACGATTCCATACCCAATGATAATAATTAAACAAACTTAGGTTTTAGACAAAAAAACAATTTTGTAAAAACTAATAATTTAACAATATTTTTTTCTACTTTTTTGTTCTTGTTCGTTGTATTGATGATGCTAGAACCAGTTAGAATATAACGTGTTGTCAATAGTTGAAGAATTAATCATTTCCTATTTGACATAAGCAAAACGTATCATGATTATTAATTAAAGTTTGACAAGTTATATTATTTTATTCAGCTTTTACATACAACCTTATGCAACCTCGAAAGTTCATTGACTCCGTTATCCTTAAGTTACTCTGACCAGCACCCTGCGGATAGATATTGTCTACATTTAATAATAGTTTCTACCTAAAGCAAAAATACGTATCAATATTTTTCCCATAAGAACGTTGGTAATACTAACACATCGGTCAGTAAAATCTATAAAAGCTTTTTAGCGCTTGATTTGTAGCAATATTAATGAACTAAAACGACTAACGAAATAGTATAATTCTCATATGTTGAACTTTGCATCACCGTAGTCGCGAGTGTTAAATGGGCACATAGGCAGAAAGTTAATTGTTGCCGGGATTGCACCTACGACCTCCGGGCTGAGAGTCACACGCTGAACGCCACAAAACTGCTCTCCTTATGTTACATATACATATGAGGAAAATACACAATTTTATTGAGATAAGAATTCTTGGAATTTAGCGCACTGCTATAGCCACTGTTTTATTTTAATTATCTTTATGTAGCATATTTCCAATTATAAATTACGAGTGACGCTTTTGAGTTACAGAAAAACGAAACTAAACTGTGTCTGTCCCATACTCTTTTCTAATAGGGTTTCATAGAAGTCCAAATAACCATAGCAACTCCGCGGATTGTTATTTATATATCTTACTGTTATTGAATTTCGCGAAAAGTAAATTTAAGTAAACTTACGAAACGCAAGAAAAATATCAATGGGAATTGATTGCGGGACTAACACGTGTAAAATCTATAGCTTAAATATTAATTAACAATGAAAATTTAAACACTAGTTTCAAGTATCGTCAAAGCAATGCATTAAAGTATAAATTATTCACTGCGATACAACAAACCGTCCTGTGTATTTCAGAGGACACGGCTAGTTTTTGCGCAGGTTTAGCTATAAATTGCGAGGGTGGTTTAACAAGTAAGAACTGGTCTTGTGTTACATATAGAACATGCTTTTTTCATGCTTAGCACTTTAAAAGTTGAATTTCCAACCTCGGCCGTGCAGCAATGAACTTTTCAGTGTATGTGTGTAAAAAGTAATCGTATAATAAACAAACTAAATCTGAAATTCAACCTTATAACGGTCTAAACATTGGTTCATCTTAAATATTAAGTGCGTGACTCCCTCCCCCTGACGCAAATGCTATAGTCACCCTAGAATTGATACATGTGTACACTTCGTGAGCCCATTTTTGTAAGTAGGTTTTAGCGAATAATATTTGAAATATTGCATTATTAGTAGTTACACAGAAACCACCCAAAGTCCCAGGCCAAAAACCAAATTGACACCCCCAATTTATCAGCCAGAGATCAGATAAGACACTCCTGAAATTATCAGGATATACGTTTATATCATTAAGGTTTATCGGGGTTCTTGTGATTTATTATAAGATTATATTAATACTCCATGTCTGGACAAATACGCGTTCGCAAGCGCATAATTAAGATCTGTGGTTAAAAGACCCCGGGGGGGGGGGGGGGGGGGGAAAAGGGGGAAGGGACCAAACTTTCATGTTAACATTTTTATTACCGTTCTATTAAGAAACATTGACCCGTTGCATGTTCAATAGTAACACTATTTATACAAATCCAAGGTTTATTTTACTCAGATGGAACGAGTACTTTCGTGTAATAAACGATTTGAACCTTTATAGCATAGGGAGCTAAGAATAGTTTCAAAGTGTATTAAATAATTTTGCTTGACGCAAATACAAATAAACATTAGCTGATAAGAATGACTAATTATCAGACAGTAAATAATAATCCAGTTACTTGGGTCTTGGTCTCAGATTGCGTCCGTTTCTTTGATCATTTTTTTTCATACACGATCATCATTCTATCCGACACGTCCATTTTTTGATTTGAGACATGCGGATGCCCTGACGATGGTTACCTTCACCTTACGAGTGAGTGTCAAATGCGCAGGTAGACAGAAAGCCCAATGGTGCACGGCCGGGGATCGAACCTACGATCTCAGGGATGAATTCGCGCGAAAGACATAATAAGGTATGCATATTTGTAGTATTCAATATTCGTTTTGTTTCAGATTCGAGCGTCTACCGTTATTCTAGTCATAGTATGTGTGTCTACTACTCTAGAACAAAGTATACCAAACTCACCTTGCCCCAACGTATTCCAATATGAGCAGACGGGATTCGAACCGGGTCAATGGTATGGAGTAGTTAACTTATCGACAGATAATACTCTACATTCTTTATGGTTGAATATCGTGCTCGATGGCAAAGCGAATATCCTTGGGGTGAGTTTTTCCGCTATAAACCTCAGTTTATATTATAAATAGTTGGCGATCCTTATAAAACTTCATGATCGTAGTATATATGAATCTTATATATTACTAACTGCCCCGCGAACGTACGCGTACCAACCATGAACCAACATAATATGGAATTTAGCTTGCTACCCCGTAAACATTGTTCAAATTTCTGAAACAAAAACCTAGCCTATTAATTATTTTTTTTTCTTATTTCTCTTAAAAAAACCTTCCTCAGAGATCGTTCTTTTCAGCTTTTTTCGAGCTTTGCGCTTAAGAACATAAGATTTTAAGATAACATTAAGATATAATATTTTTTTTAAATACCACATAATTGAAATTTGTTTTAGAACTGGGTAGGAGACGTCACAACAAATGATAACATCGATTTTAAAATCGAAAACACCAATATGAAAATCCACCCAGGCCCTGCCGTGGCGGTCCGATTCTTTGTCAGATATGACAAACTCAATAAGCCACCCAGAGTGCAAGCCATTCGATTGAATGGGAGAGAAATCTGCAAAGCAAATGCTAATCCGACTATTGACAGACCAGATTTGGTTTCTAGACCTGATTCAAGACCTATGTCAGAATCCCGGCCTGACGTCGCCTCACGGCCAGTCGAGAGACCCGTCTCAACAAGGCCGAACGAGGCAAGGCCGGAAACAAGGCCAGATACCAAGCCAATAATCAGAGCAGAGGACAGCCCTATTACTCGACCCGTGTATGGAAGACCGTCTGGCGACGGACCTGTTTATACGCCTACTCAGAATCCACCAATAGACCAAAGCAATGTAAACCCTTATAGCATGTAAGTACATTTTTAGTAGTAACTATAGGTGGAGAACTTTTACCTAATTGAATTTTCTCAGTAATATAAAGTAGACGCTCTTATACTAATATATCTATCGCTAGTAGATTACACAATGGCAATTCAAATTCAATTTAGATTGCGTAAAATGTCCATAAACCTTAAGATAATTGATAATATTCATTTAAGTATACAATAGTCGTTCTTAATCGGTGCAAACATTTTTCATAAATAATTTTATACAAAAACTGCTTGCTTACAATAGATACACTGTATAATTTCCAGATTATATATCGATTTTATTTATATCTATATTGACATAGCATTGAACACTAACTACGCAATTAATTAACAAACGTAACAAACAAGAAAACTCAGTCTTAAAACGAACTTTTCACATAATAAATTTTTTATCAAAGGATCTCGTACAAACACATCATTATAAAAATAAGTTAAATTATATATAAATGTTTTCTTTATTATAAATATTGTTCCACTAAAATGTTACACAAAACTCCATTACTAATTAGTAATATTGTCAGAACATTTGAATGGAAAATTACATATTTTGGATATAATTAATTAATGAAAATAATCTGGATTTTGCAATACATTATTTATAAATTAAGAACTGACTTTAAATTTAATAAACAACTATATTAATTAATTAAGACTCCAATTTGCGGTTTTGCCTGCTACCTCGTCGCAGAGATAAAACTTGCTATTTCAAAATTTCATGCATCCGCCTTTCTGTATCTATTAAATTAGTTGTTTATTAACAAACGTGTTCTCAAAACTTCAACATCATCAGATTTTGTTTTGTCGGACTTTCGGATGATAGTTTTACCGCTCTGCCCACTATCCTCAAATAATATGAAAATCTTTAAAACGTGAATCTTTCATCAATGGCATACTTCATGCATGTGATGCCTACTTTACTTTCTCTCATTCTTATTTATATAATCCATTAAAGAGGCTTCCAGAAACGAACTTTAACCTTTTTAACAGTAATTGCACCAGGCATGTCTTCTAACTAATCAACATTTAACAGTGGTGGTAGTGCCCCGTCGCAGAGTGTAACAGAAGGACGTCCCTACCAGCTGACGACGTCCACCTTTCGTACTACTACCAGAGATGATGATGACGACAGGTAAGGTGATCAGGCACATTAAATTTCGTAGCACAGACAAAGGAAAGGTAAATACTAATTCATAGATAATTATAAAACGATTTCATATTTAATTGTTGCTGCCTTTATTATTGCCAATAAAGGGCATTTGGCCCAGTATATATATGAAACCCAAATCAAATCTTAAAATATTTGTGAACCAATTTTATCAATGGACCTCAATGGACATTGTTGACAGCGCTCAAGACAAGTTTTGGAATGAACGCTTGTGTTTTGTTATGCCTATTAGATTTTAATTTAAACTTAGAAATACCACACACATATAAAGTCTTATGCCACTTATAGGATTCAGGATTAGGATCAGATAATAAGTGACGAAGGTGTGTATTTTCAGCCGCCCCGATCCAAGTGAATACTTCGAGGGTGGACAGCCAACATTCATCGTTTCTGGTTCTGGAAGTGGCAATTCCGGTAGCGGCAACTCTGGTGGCGGCAGCAATGACAACTCGAACAATAGACGCACAAGGGTATCTTGATTTGTTTCATCCTTTCCTTGTTATGCATAAATAATGCAAACTTAACAAATGCATATAAGGGTATTACTAAGGCTTATCGTGGTATTAAAGAAATAGTTTAAAATAATACTGGTATTATTCCCACGTTCACGTGTAATACACGATCCAATGTGGAAAAAATTCGAAAAACATTGTTTTTATTGTTTTCGAAAACACTAACCAACATTCATGGAATCTGTTACGATGCTCGTAGAAATAAAAAAAAACATTTTCAACTTTTATTTTAGTCTGCATTTCTACTAAAGAATTTGAATAATTTCTAGAAGTCGTAAATTTTTCTATGGAAAAGAAGGGATATCAAATTTTCTTTCTTTAGAAAATATTAAATTCGAGAGTTTATAATATGCCTACTCGTAAGTGTTTCCTATAATAACAATTAATATTTTGTCGTATTTATTTAGTTTGCAGTTAATAATACTAAATTACCACGCACTAGAGACATAAATAAAATGTTTAAAATATGCGAGACGTAACAAAAAAGTTGGTCAGATATTCTTTTTAAAACTTGTTTGAAGCGCGGGTAAATCCCCAGAGCTAATTTTATACAGAGTTAATAACTGTTATGATCAATGAACAGGTATTTTGTAAATATCAACTAATTATTTTAAAATGGATATTTAATGGTATTGCAGCATTTATATTGAGTTATTAATATTAATTATGATTGTGGTATTTTGAATGCGTTTAATGGTTCAGTGTTCAAACTAGCCAAAATACCCCCAACGTTTAGATCAGTGCAGTATAAAATTACATTATATATAAAGATGTTTTGTTAGTATGAAATTCTCTGATAGCGTTGAATAAGGCGGAAACTGGACGTCACACTGACTTACTAAGTCATTATGTAAACTGCAGTTTATACGCAATACTATTATCTTACAAAGGTCACTACTCATAGTAAGATGTATAAAGGAAATATATTTTGCAACGAATAGCCTTAAAATTAACTTTTCATTATTCTATAAAAGTTTTGTTGTTCCACCAAATTCTATGATTTTGATAATAAAATGTTAATCCTCACGTTGTTTAGATACCAATAAGTAAACTTTATATGATATTATTTGGTGCATTATCAATAATTACTTACTTATGTATATATGTACTTACTTAAATGTCCTAAAAAGATCTAGAGTTTTGTTTTATATAAGCAATACTTATTGAATTGGAATTTAAATGAGGTTTGGAGCCAGTTAACATTTTTTTGTTTATCTTGCCAAACTAAAATAACATATTTTAGTGACTATAAATTATTACTCATATATCAAACTCAAACTATCTTTATTCATATAGGTAAACAAGTACACTTATGAACGTCAAAAAGAAGTTAAATTAATTGTAAATTTACATTTACTACGAGTCTATCGTTTATAAGCTAAAGCTAACCCCTAAAGCTTTACCGTAAACTGTCAAATATTTAAGTCGCCACAAAGAGGCAGTTGTAAATGATTTATTATTATATTAATATAATATTTTTGATCTTCGTTTCAGGATCAATGTGGAAAAGTAGTGCGGAACTCCCCAAACCCGTTGGTGGTGAATGGAAAGCCGACACTAGAGGGACAGTGGCCCTGGCAGATCGCGTTGTATCAGACCCAGGTAACTTTCAATTATAAATCACAACACGTAGCTACGTACTTAAATTAATTTTAGCATAACAATAACATTTACTTGTTCTTGGCTTTTCAGACAGTAGACAATAAATACATATGTGGAGGCACCCTGGTCAGCCACAGGCACGTGATAACAGCAGCTCACTGTGTGACCCGCAAAGAGTCTGTTCGAGTCGTTAACAAAAACACGCTAACGGTGTATCTTGGAAAACATAACTTGAGAACTACTGTGGACGGAGTTCAGATACGACTTGTAAGTAAAACAAAGTACTGAAAAGTTTCTATAGGTATACGTACAAAAACCTCCAAGAGCTGTACGTATATGTAGTATCATATAAAAGTCGTAGAAGGCTAGACGTATGCCACCCTGCGACTTTTGCCTACATTACATTTACAAGAAATATCGCTTTAGTCTAGTAACCTCGTATGGTCCTATAGATAGACGTAACGTAATAGAAGTCTTAAATACTATAAAGAATATCTTGCCACGTTTGTTTTATTTTCAAAGTCATATGAGGGCAACAACAATACATAAGAGAGCATTCAATATTTATTTGAGAAATAAAGTAAGTTTATTTAACAACAACTATGTTAACATTTTTACTAATAAGTGTTCGTTAAATCTTAATCTTACATTATATCAATTTCCAATAATGCTTATCCTACTTTCAGGTGAGTGACATTATAGTTAATCCACGATACAACGCGTCGTCATTTAGCCGTGATCTCGGTATTCTGAGGTTGCGGGAATCCGTCCAATACACCGACTACGTGAGACCAGCCTGCCTTTGGCCAGATGATTTGGTAGACCTTAACAATGTCATCGGAAAAACTGGATCGGTAAGAAGTCTTAAATAGTTATAAAGTATTAAAGAAACTTATCAATGTTATATTGAATTAAAATATCAACGCTGTGATAGTAACAAATTTGCTGTTTTAATATGAGTTATATTCAGAGTTAAAATTTATTATAGCTTATCTAAGCTTATATATTCTTTCACCGGAAATACGTCCTAGGTTCGATTTCTGGCTCCAGGTTATTAGAGCCGCTAAGTTATAAATATTACCTACATGGTCATTTACATCGAATTTCAATTGCAGGTGGTAGGTTGGGGTTTTGATGAAACAGGGGTAGCAACAGAAGAGCTAACGTTAGTAGAGATGCCAGTGGTGGACCACTTGACCTGCATACGGTCCTACAGCGAGTTCTTTTCAAGATTCACCTCGGATGACACCTACTGCGCAGGGTTTAGAGATGGTAAGATTTATAACATTTACAAAACAGCTTTGTTGTTGTAATGTAACTGCCATTTGTGCTACTTAAGCGTAATTTTGCAAAAATCTTATATTTTCGTTATTTTTACCACCTATTGTTGCGAAATTCATAGCATAGCATATAGATGCGAAACCATTAAATAGCGTAAACTTAAGGTGTTCACGTTTATAGTTCGCATGACTGCTACGTCTGTGTTAATTTAGTATCACATTAAAATTTTGCACCCGATCTCACATTTATTCGGTGTTGTTCAAATGAGAGTACATTAAAGTTCTTCTTATAGGATTTATTCGAATTTCTACCTACGTCGAAAGCTTATTTTAGTTGCTTCCTACAAATATATCACTCATTGTAAACACCTATTTATTACAGGGATCAGCAGTGGGGGTAAAATTAAAAATAAACGTATGTCATAATATATACATTTGTATTTACATTTACATTTCAAACTCTTTTTCTTAGTAGTGTAAATGTTCTTGTTGTAACTGTACTAATTTTTATTCACCTGTTACTATCCTTTGGAAGTTTGGGTCACACTAAATTGTTTACGTCTTTTCGGGAAACTTATATATTTTTGCTTTAATCCAAAAATAATTTCTTAATTAAATTTTGTTTTCTAGGTACATCAGTGTGCAATGGAGACAGCGGTGGTGGGATGGTTTTCAGGATGCAAGGATTGTGGTACCTTCGAGGTTTGGTGTCCCTCTCTGTGGCCAAACATAATGAATACCGGTGCGACACGAGCCACTATGTTATATTTACGGACCTAGCCAAGTTCTTGCCATGGTTAAAGGACAATATAAGGGATTAGTAGAAAGAGCCATCTATGACAAACTATGTAACTGAAATATTAGTGGTTTCAGTGCACTCTACTAAAATAACGAATTAACTTAGTATTTTTTATTATACCGCCATCTATTGTACTTACGACGTAATATGACAAATGATACTATATTTTTCGTTTGTCGTGACTCAAGCATACTATGTAATTATCTTGATATTATATAAATGTTTGTGGCTTTTTTGTAATGTGATAAATATTCGAGACTGTTAATCGATAATGCTCAAGAAGTATTCTAAATTAGTTATATTTCAATATATTTTTCATGTACTACAGGAAATGTTTCGAATAAATTTTTACGTATATATATTTTTCATCTTTTCTTAATAAACCGCATCAGGTATAAATAAAAGTAAGGAGATGTAAACTTAAAAATAAAAACTTCAAATAAATTATAATCTCTATATTAAAGAAATAATTTTAAAAAATGTACAAGTCTGCCATCGGTAGGCATAATTACAATAATTAACGAAAACAAAACAGACTTCACACAAATTATACTGACATAACCTATTATATAAAATGTAAATCTTGAACAAATACAAATTAAAATAAAACTGAATTTCGTTAACGAGATATAAGTATACGCTTTCTGCACTACACAAAAACTACTTTTCTTTTCTAGATGTCACCAAAAGGCTTATCTTAAGGCAAACCATTACGCTTTAATTAATGAAAGGATCACCTAGATGGCGCTTATCGAAATATTTTTAATTTATTTGAAATTAGGCTGGTAATTTCAAGCAGATTGTCAATCGTAATAACATCTACTATTGCCTCTTGTCTTTAGCAAGGATAATATTATAATGAAAGGCATAAGAAACGCCTTTATTAAATATCGCCACAGTCATATAAGCACTAACCTGTTATTAATACAATAATTATTTGATAAATAAAATAATACATTAGTAAAACAGCCTAGTACATACAGTACCATCTAGAAGTATGACAAAATAGCAATTTTCCTTAAAATTGCTCAGTTTACGAGAACCTTTTGTGACCTCTCCTCAAACAATCAAAATTCACGACCACTAAAGCAAAATAATGCTTTATCATCGTTAATTCATTGCACTGCTAATCTACGTTCATAAATCTGGAACAAAATCCACAACTTGAATCTTCTTGGACATCTTGACAACACAATAAAAAAAAATAAAAAAATTTACCAATACGGTGCACCATTTCTACACCTCTGTCCTTTAAAGTCACCAGCCCCTGGGCCCCAGGGGAAATTTCGCCCCCGATTGGCTCTATTGACTTTACCAAACGGTGGTCGAATGTTCGCACACATTCCTGGCCTGCAGCCGTTTCTGGGAGTGTTTGGACTCCCTAGTAAAGGGGGAGGGGATGGGAAACTATCCCAGGACTCTCCAGGCATCAAACAAGTTCCACAATTCCACGAAAAGTCACCTGCGGATTTCATAGACAGATTAGTAAATAAGAATCATAATAATAAACATCGTGGTTTTAATAATGGTAGTGAATAAATAACAATTTTTAAATGAAAGTTTAGTTTCTCAAATAATAGTGAAAGCTTTAAGCTTTTTAGCTAGAGCACAATGTTGGATCATTGTGGACAATATATATCATGAAATTTAAAATATTACACTAAAACTCAAATTCATACTTTATTATAATATTTATTTATATGTTATAACTACCGCTTTGGCCAATTCTGGAAGATTATGATTTCATCCCGCCAAACAATCATAAATACTATATATATTAATAATTAACTGGATTTTAAAGCATTTTCTTACTTAATTAAGAACTGCAACTAAAATTATATTACATACGTAGAAACAGTCCATACGAAACATAGCCTTAGGTACTAGCTTGCGCCAACGCAGTTTTTGAGATATTTTGGGAAACTTTTTTTTAATTCTTATGAGCTTTTTTTAAATATTAAATAATGACTAAGAGATTCAACTCAAACTTTGGAACCAGCAATATCTTTCGCATCTGCTGGAATAAACTTGTACGTAGCTTTTATATACTCCCAAGAAATGAACAAGAAAATTTAAATATTTTGTTTTTATTAAACATTTTAAGATAACATTTATCCCTTACTTAATAAATGAGTTCACAGAAAATTAACTCTGTCGACTAATATTTAAGACTTTCTTGTAAAAAATACAATCTGTTGGAGGAGTGTATAAGGGTGCGTACAGACTATGTAACTTATTATATAACTTGTGTTTTATAACACGTCCACATTATGTAACCTTGTTATTCAACATTATAACACAAAACAATACTGTACACATTAGAATTACAATGCAATATAACAATGTTATATAACCATTTTAATTAACAAAAGAAAAACAAAAAAACGTAGATGCTTGGTTCGTCCTAGTATACATATCAATAACATGTTATTATAACATGTTTTATAACATTCAGTGTTCACATTATCTGAAACATGTTTTATAGCAATGTTGTATAACATGTTATGTTATATAGTCTGTACGCACCTTTACAGACAAAAAGGTGCAACTACTAAACAATACGTTTCACTAGATTGCTGCACGGATTAATAAAACCAATGTTTTATTAAAGATTCGTGAGCTCACAATCCATACCGTTGTATCGTCATATTTAAAAAAGTCCGATTCTCAATTGTATTTTTGCATTCATTTTGCCTCTCGAAAAATATGTCAATATAATTTTTTTTCAGTAAGTGTAAAGATTTTAATGACGTTAAATGAATTGTATTTTCATTAGTGCTATTAACTCAAAAAATATATTTTTGTTGAAACAATTTATAATCTTTCTAGTACCTATCATAAGATTTTTCTAAAGATGAAAAAAAGATACTTTAATTTATTATACTATTTAGCAACAGAAATAACGTCGCAAATTATTAAAATAAATCAAGAAACATTTCTCAATATTTCTTACTCAAGTAGAAAGCTTACACGTAAATAATTATATTACAGCAGTTGCTTAATGCTATGAGAGCAACAGAGATGTTAATTTTAATATTAAATATTGTCTCTTTCAATCGAGTACGACTTACTCTCATATCATTACAGCTAGCCATGTTCTTAAGATATTTATTTAGGCACAATTGACATGGAAACTAGTTCTAGCATCCTATACCTACCGCTGGCGTTCAGTGAATTATACGCAACCACTTAAAAAAATATTAACACCAATTTAAAAAATAAGCAATAATATTGTGAATCCAACGACAAATCACTGAAGGCCTATATTTAAGATATAAAACGTTTATTTCGAACAAGCACGGGTATAATATAATCATTAATCAATAGATAATATCTACTTTATTCTATGGAGAGACACGAATGCCTCGATATTACGCCATCTAGCAACAAGTTTTACCGTCACGTAATATTCAATAATGTTTTAAAAGATCGTAATAACTTTCGTACTTTTAACTATCCCCTTACCAGAAGCTGGATGTGCCAGTAGTGCCATAATGTCTAGGCATTCGCCATAACATCAGTGATAAACACGAAAACATATTTCTACCGTAGAATATTGTCGTTATGATGACTTGAATAGCAGTATATACTGGAATCGCTAATGTTTACTAAAACGAAAACTTCAATAAAATAATTTAAGATCCAATGTGGCACACAAATGGCTAAATCCCATGAACCTTTTATTATATACACTGGTACCCAAGTCTAAGAAAAATACTTTATGTTAAAATAAATCTTTTTAAATCACTCTGTTAAATCTATGTTAATTTTTCGAAAATAGAAATAGATCTATAGAACTTCCATATTTTCAATACAACTCTGAAACTATACTAATAAATATTAAAAACTAGATTAATTATTTCATAACATGGACTAAATAATTTTACGAAATACAAAATTAATATCATCTCATTGACATTTAGTATGTATGAACGATGTTCATAAGGAAGACTGAAGTACACTTAAACAGCAAAAAATACTAAAATGCAATAAAATTTAATCTATGTTTGTCTAGATTCATACCTTGAATTTTAGCAATTTTATTTTTATATATGAACTAGATAGGGAAGCACTAAGACGAAATAGATCATTTAATTTAAACAAAAATAAAACATTTGATCACTAAATATGAATTATAGCTAGTTAACAATATAACCACGATATAATATAAAAACACTAAGTAATATTCTAAAGCGCCATCTGTTGTTCGTAATTGAGCACATATATTACTGCGAAGTACCACATCATTTTGTTTAAAATAGCTGTTTAACAGATTGAAGACTCAAGCAGTGTTTAGATTACAAATTTTCAGGATTTTGAAGACAACACTGTAAGTGAATCTTATATTCAAATATTTTTTTCAATACCAAAAATCAGATACGGTCCTTCAAATACACAGACCTGAGGAAGGCATTAAATCAGCGACAATGTGTTATTTTATTTTTACCATAGCCATGCAATCTTGTTAAGGTTATTTACACTTAAATTATTATCAAACGGAATCAATATATTTTACACATTATTTATTACGATTTTGCAAGAAAATATTTTCAACGCCCACCAATATATATGATGAAGCTCAACGTTTTCGGCTGATACTTGGACAGAGATCTTAACACAAAACTTACAACGTGAACAATGAATTATTAAAAAAATACTCATCACATCAAATATTTCATAGAACACATTGCTAATACTGAATTCGATTTGCATAGAGCATTATAAAGGCCAGACGCTTACCATCGATGTATTAAACAATTCAGGCAAAAATTAAAGCCGTCCTAAACATCAAATCTATTGCCATTAAAAATTCATAAGAACTGTGACTAGAATAGTTCGAGTGAAATAGAGTTATTACAATAACCGTAACATTATATTTTACACCAATCCGGACATAAGATGGTGTCTTTCATAGATGTCGCCACACAGCGGTGGGTAGTTAATAATACATTTTAATTACATTTATTCGAATATTTGAACAGTCTTATGCCCATAATAACTCTTAAACACTGAAATTTCAACCGTTTACATTAACATACAATTATTACCAAACAGCTTATAATTTAGAAAACTCCTAGAATAGAAAAACGTCAACAGTTAATTTTGTGCGGGTACAAGGTCCCAAAGTTAGTATTTTAAATCAGTGCTGAAGAATCTACACCTATTCCGACAATCATTATAGAAATTCATGTTCTAATCGAAGTTACTTATATTTAACTATTGGTATATAAGTACAAAAAATTTAACGACATCTAGCGGTAGAGTCCAACTTTATTCAGTCTAAAACTAGTCTCCGAACTCCATCCATAAATTTTTAGACGAGTGAACGTAAGACAATTGACAACTGACTTTGGCTTCGTTCTATAACTTATGTTTTATTGATACAGCAATAATTTTGTCAAAGACAAACTATCTAAGAGCAAATGATGGCTATTTGCAGTGTTGTGGGACAAATTATGGTCCCTTGGCTATACCACACAATACATTGCAATGACTCTCTACAAACTAGCTATGTAGTTTCAATGTTAAAAATGTCTTTGAATGCAAACACTATAATATTTATAAAAAATAATTTAAATCAGCAATTTATTTGAAAGGTTTCTCGACTCGACTTCATGTCATTGGAAATTGTCATTCTTCATGCATATCTGGGCTCTTCAGTGATTTATAGAGACAAAAGTTATTAACCTCTTCAATACAAACAAATACTACATATATCGATTATATTTCTTAACAAAAAAAACGCCAGTTTTCTACATCTCTCAACCAAGGGGAACAAGTAAGAAATACGGTTGAATTTTTGTCAAACCACAACTCTCCCACAACACCAACACTAAACTAGTGAAAAAAAAAGTCCACGCCTATATCCTTGTATCGGAAAGGCGAAATTTTTTGCAGTACAGCCCTTTTCAAAACGGGCGATGATGGGACATATACGCAGGCTGGTTGTAATAGTCTCGGCGGTACATCCTATTCATCGTGTTATACATTCCGTAGTTGTAATCGTGTCGGCTTTGAAGCATGTCCAATTGGTCGAGACTGTGGTGCCGTTGGGGCATGGGTGGACCTATCCATGCAGCGTGCACAATACACAATACAGTGGATATGGAAGCATCGAAATAGAATTTATTGGTAAGGTATATTTTTTCTCGGATTTTTTGTATAATTTTCACAAAATGTCTCACATATACACCTATATGTGACATTATACACAAAAATCTCGTTTTCCTAGTCATTTAAAGGAAAACAAGGCCCCAACAAAGAATCAATATAAAATTTGCATACTATTTCGATAGCGAGGCCGTTATAGACAGTGAAATTTAAACTATACATAATAATATATTGTATATATCAAGCGTCGTTGCCATGGCAACCATCTTACCTCGACTCTGTTGGAAGCCAGCTGACCATCCTGCGTAGTACGCCGCCTTTTGTTTACCGTGCTCCTCGGCTACCTGCAGTAAAATATTGTGTCAATACAACATTAGAAAACACAAATTGTCATATTCAGAAACATCTGCTGTGATTTATATAAATCCTGTTATTACTTGTCTTGCTTTGGTTCGTTGAAGATTAAGAAATATTTCTGAACATTTGGTAGTATTTCCTATTGACATCGCGTAATATGCACCACAGCGAACATTCATGTTTATATATTATAGATAAGCAATTAAACATACCAACGATCTTAATAATAAAGAAGCATATTATGGTGTTTATTATGCTTTTTTCTATTTAAAACTCACCACACCTGAAAACTGTAGATACTATTTGTAAAACACTACGACTATAAACACGACTTATATTCGACAGCGTCTTAAATTGACATAAGCATAAGCAGTTCTAACTTCTAGATATTTATTTATAAAAACTCAATGACACTGGCATTTTCACACAGTAAGCGAATGAATGTATGTAACTCGCGTTGATGTTATTTATGATTTATCTTTTAATTCACTTAAAATCTTAATAAAATTACTCTTACGTGTCAAAACTTATTGTAAAGACATGGGAAACGAATAGCTAACGAAAGTGGATTACAAGATCAACTGATAAAGTAAGTTTGGGATCCTCTGATAAAATTTAACATTCAAATTATTATTAAATGTGAGTGAAATTTCGATCTGTATTAGAACATACTTGCAACGGTAAAAAGAGACCCAAAAATATTGCTTCACAATAAGGATTTGCAATGTCTAAACATAGAAGAGTGATGTTCAGACCTTATTTACCAAAAGACATTAGACGTAAATACCCATTAAACCATAAATGACGGTAATTTGCGTAATGAAACCCGTAATTTAATGGAAACCAAAAATTTCGTCTAATGTATTATGAAGTTGCTTTTATGTATATGATAAAGCTATGCACCGTTGTATCGGAGTGCAGCCGCGGTCGGCTCCCGCGCAAGCTCGCACGGCACTGCGCGGCTCCCCACTGCCTCAATACAGACCCCTCGGCCAATTGGTTGCATGCACAATGTTTTATGATTAGATACAATGAAAGCTGATGTGCAACAACCTTTGGCTTTAACGTTCCCAGTCTGACTTATCTGGCGGATATCGCCAAGATGTAAACATTACGAAATGAAGTTTAGTCCCACAATTTGCGTCTCCGTAAAAATAAAAGTCTTAAATGGAAAATTCTGAACAAAAGGAGTAAGGTATTGACTAAATATTAATAAAAATTCTAAAACATACATAGGTCATCGTAAAATATGGTGGCGCGGGACATATTCCGTTCAACCAATCAACGCGCGAGGTGCGATCCATTTCACAATTTGACGGTTTCACTTCGATAGATTCAAACTACCGAATAATAATACGTTAAATTGTAAGCAGTACGTTAAGGTTCACAATTTTTCGACAGTTCACAATCTCGCGAGATAGATTACAATCTAACGGTATTTACAATTTTACGGTGACATATACAAGACTACGTATACAAAGAAAGTACGAAACTCATAAGAATATTAGACTTTTTTCAAATAAAAAGCAAATAGGTAATATTGAATATCGACTTGTATTGAAGTTATTTTTATATAAAAATAAATATAAGAAGAAATACTAGAATAGCAGCTAAATGTGCGACTAACTTTATTTCATAATAATCTTACCGGACGACAGCTCTGAAAAACTTGTAGTGCGAGTCAAAAGTTTTCAAGGCATTAAAGTCTTAAGAACTATACAGACCTATTTATAAAGATCATATTAAAATGTAAAATTCTTTAAACTTATTGAAAAAAATATCAACTGCAAATCTAAAGTTAACCACAACATAAAATAAACATTTAAAATCCTTTGAATCGATCAACCATTCTAAAAACATATTATTTCCCTAATTATCTCAGTGTGTCTTTTTGAAAGTTATTTTCTCAATATCCTTTAAAAATTAATAATATATCTTTGTAACGTGCACTAAACATTTATGTATTAAATATAATGTTCACCTTGACACTTAGGGGTTCAGTGCCGCCCTCTGGTATCACATTGTTAAGTGCTGCTATCGCTTCTTGGGCCTCTTCTCTTTTATCGAATCTGAAACCAATAATTTTAAATATTTGGCATGGCGTATTATCTATATATATATAAGAAAAATGGTCTTCGTTTGAGACTCCTTCACGCCTAAACCACTGATCGTATCGACATGTAACTACTGCCATTCGATGCGAAATTTTAGATGGTTTATGGCTATGTATTTTTTTAAATTCCAACGTTCCTTCATTTTTTTATTGCTGTTTTACTTTTATGAAAATTTATACATACGGACTTCACCGCGGAAACATTCGGGGAGGCTTCCTAGAACCTCAAAACGTCAACATCTGTTAAAAACTCGATTTTCGAAAATTTTCAATTATCTTAGCGGGAAGTTAAAAAGAAGAATAATAAAAATAATAATAAAATATAAAATTTTATTTATTTCCTATTTTAATTCGCCCAGCGAAGCGGGCGGGAAACGGCTAGTGTTTTATATATCTATAACATTCCTAACATAAATGCTAGATGTAAATGTATTTATTACATTTACAATCGTATCTGGAGCGTTATAATATACATAGGGTTGATATATAAAGGGTACAAATGTATATACAAAATAACGTCTCCGAAAGTTGTATATAGATAAGTACATACGGAAGATTCTTTCCTTATGTACTTATGAATGCGTTTCTTAAATTGATACCCTCTTTTCTATCAACCGGACGTCACCAATACGGGTAGAATCTCGACTTCTTGTGATATGAATTGCAACCAACAAGCAATATTTATGTTACAGTAGACGTATTCCAGAAGAAAGTTTGCGGGGATAGATTTTTAGTTACCTTACAAAGGCGACACCTCTCGGCGAACCATTATTCTTATCACGTAGAATGTGTTTTTGTACTATCCTTCCATATTTCCCAAATATCGTTTCAAGTTGCTCCTCAGTTATTGCCCGAGGAAGATTCGTTACATATAGGTTTGTTTCTTTAATATCGTCTCCTGATGGTCGCGCATAAGAAACCTATAAAATTGATTTTGCGTTTTTATTACGGAAAATAAAACAAAACTATTATACAAATTTTTGTATTAAATTATCAAAAAAGAATTGAGGTATTCTGAGAACACGGTTAAATGATTTCAAATAAAAACTTCCGAAAATGTTTATGGATTGTACATTAGTGTAAGATGATAAGCAATGAGACTAGTAGGCCTATGATTACATTAATAAAATATACTGCAAATTAGGAAATATTTAAATGGTAATATTTTTTGAAAACCTGTCAACAGTGATCTGACAGACGTTGCACAACGCGAGGCGCTGTAACTTCAATCCGAGTTACCTACCTCTACACTCTGGAGGTCATGTTTGACATATCTAAGTTAAGTTAAAAGTTAATTTAATCACTCTATCATTCGTCATAAAATTTATCAGTTTATAATTAGAACTAAATTTTTTGTCTCATAGTTTACCTGCCGTATAAGTTTATTACCTTTAATCGCTTATTTCTAAGTTGGTATCCATTGAAAGTCTCGATAGCTCTCGTAGCATCCTCTTCCCGTACATAGTTCACGAAGCCAAAACCATAACTATAACCAGTCTGAAAAATATACGACAAATAAGCTAAAATTTAATATTATATTCGTCGATTATATATAGCTAAAGCAAGATAAATAAACTATGAAAATAATTATAAGTTTAAACTGTTACGTGATTTGTATAAATTGTTATATTCCATTGTGAAGTAATTAAGGGTTGGGGATGTAACGTTATTGTTCTAAAAAAATCACCGATTAAAAGAGAATTACCGTAAGTAAATTTTATTCAAACACTTAATGTTCTATTTTAAAGGCTAGGTCAAGTCTACGTAAGGATTCGTCAAGCCAATGAAAAATAAAAATTACCATATTATACTAATTTTAGTATTAGAAGGGTGTAAAATAAAATTAAAATAGAAAATGAAAAATAAATTTAAAATATAAATTATTAGTGAATTAATATTTTGACTTACCTTAAAATCCTTCATAACCCTACAGCTCTCAATCGGGCCGATGGTGACGAACATAGCATAAAGATCCTTTTCTGTGACTGTCTGTGGAAGGTAGTTGACGATCAGGTTGGTTCTACTGGAGTCACCACCAGCGGCCGATATTCCTCCACCATCTGACATGCTGCCCCAAAACCTATGCGCTCCTGGGTTAGGTCTACCTCTGTACTGATGTTGTATTTGCTGAAAGAAATACAGGTCATCAATATCAGTAATACACTGACCAAGAAGTATAGAATCGTCATATATATGTTCTTAATAGTTTTGTATGTAGACCTTTTTGGTAGCTTTATTCTTAGCTCTGCTTGTACATTGGTACAGCTTGCTAGCTTATTGTAGCTTCTAACATCACAGAAGTCTACCACATATTTTTATATAAATAAGACTGACCCAAAAAATCTTTAAAATTTACAGCTTCTACAAACACTGAAAAATGCACGAGAATTACGAGCGCATTTGGCAAAGCTTAAGAAAGTCGAAAAAGATTATCTAAAAATTTGGAGGCTGACGTTTAATTCTAAATGTATCGTAGTGTCTGGCCGTGACTTGCTGGCAACACCAAGACCTAAATTCCTAGGTTACTTGAGGCACAGATTGTTATTCAATTTTATTCAAACGAAATCATTAATAATAATAATCATAGGCGAACAACCTTTTTAGATCTGGGCCTCAGATTTCTGTATCTGTTTCATGATAATTTGTTAATCTAATAGGTAAGTAGGTGATCAGCCTCCTTCCTGTGCCTAAAGCACGCCGTCGACTTTTTGGGTCTAAGGCAAGCCGGTTTCCTCATGATGTTTCCCTTCACCGATCGAGCGAATGTTAAATGCGCACATAGAAAGAAAGTCCATTGGTGGACAGCCGGGGATCGAACCCACGATCTCAGGGATGAGAGTCGCACGCTGAAGCCACTAGGCCAACACGGCTCAAACAAAATCATTGACATTATATATATTATATTAAGCACCCACAAATAATGCTAAGTATCTACTTAAGAGTAGAGAGAAGCAAGTGATCTTCTCTGAAATATGGCATGTCAAGGACAGAATCTGGTGGATTACAAACAGAAGGTAGTGGATAAAAAATCTATGATAAGAAAGAGTTCACAAGGCGTCTAAGTAACAATCCAAGTCGAGTCGGAAGTGTAATTTAGCTTATTCATGCCTTAAACGCTTGAAAACCCTGACCTATTTTACCTAGTCGAGACCCGATTAAAACTTCGCTTATTAATCTTAACTTTAAGCAAATAAGTTATAGTTAAAACACGATATCGGTTATTGGGTCACGACCCTGACCCCATGGCGCCTTTCCCGGTAATCACTTGATCACTCCGCCCTTTGCCAAGATATCAAAAGCATTATCATTTATCACATTTCCGACTTTCTTTCGTTTGTCCTATTGTAAGCTGAGTCTGACTGTAAGACATAGTTTCCTTTAAATTGATAAACTTAGTTTCAATAAATAAATCTTTCAATGTGTCGTAACTGTGTCGAAGTGCGTCAGTATGAAAATTACCAACATTTTCTGTCTTCTAAACAGAACTAGGGATATAAATAACCCTTTGCAATTGAGCCTTAGAATTGTAATACAGGAATCAACTGAATGACTTAAAGTTATACATGCTAAGAATAAGCCATTGCGATACTTTAATACGATCAATAAAGTTCATTTCTAATTAGTTTTTAATATTAACAAAAATATTTCAACCCCCCTGAGACTTCAGCATAAAAGAGAGAGGTGTATGACCTCTCTCTCTACTTACTTACTATTTTTCAAAAAAAATATATCTAATAATCAGTTCAATTGCTATTTAACTAAGTAGTAGACCCAATTACACAGTAAGAGATGAAATAGTTAAGCAAGTGCACTTAGATTTGTTAAGTTAGATTCAAGTTAATTAGTAAAGGGTGTTAATAGATGTATTAAATTTATAAAACCTTACTAATTAGACACTTAAAATGTTTCGCGAAACTATAAATATAGCTGTTAGTTCCTAAAACCCTTTCCTAAGACATTTTCTTTTAGTAACCTGAAGTGGTTTTAGATAAAGCCTACCATAAAACAATGCTTGAGAATAAAGAGGTATCACACAATACTATTAGCTATACAACCCAAGTTTAACCTTGTTATAAAAATATAATACTTATTATGTAAAGAAAAGCCTTCAAGTGGCATCTTCAGTTATTACAATATTCGATAAGTAAATTTCGTTTTGCAAATGTTAAACTCATATATAGGGGTAACATTTTAATGATGTATACATATATATATATTATAGCCACACTGCGGTATTTATATGATAGAAACCTATCTAAACTTCATAACCGAGAATTTGCATGGTTGCATTTAAAGAGCCTAGTAATGAGTTTCCATAATACATCACTATATTCTTTCCTACACTCTGCCTACATTAACAATTTTGCTGACGAGCACCTTCAAAAATTTAACAAGTTCTTGGCATTTTACGTTCAACATAATATTGAAAAGCTTTAGATTTTTCATGTTAATAACAGTGTAAAAGCCAGTCTTTTATCATTCTAGACAGCGTTTAAATTTAAGAAAATGTATAATCTGAGTACATCATGTAGTGTATTTTTTTTCTCTGATAATCCTTCTTGATAAAATTATTTTGCAAGTGAAATTAAATAAATTTAAATAAAACATATTAAATTCTATATATTAAGCACACACAGCTTAGCTTTGGAGGATAGATATTTAAAAATGACAGATGAAACAAAACACTAACAATATTGCACATTCTAAGCCCTCAATTGTTCTGTCCTACATCACCATACAAAACTATACCCCTTCTTTACAAAAAGCTGGCATGACGCCAACATAAATGGACGTTGCTTCTTTAACTTTCAAGCTGTACTGAAACTTCATTAATTATTTATGTTGCTTCTCAATGATATTTTTCCTTTATGTTTGGTAGGTCAAGTGACAAGTTATTTACTCATTATAACACTAATAATGTTTAACTATCTGAATATCTGGAATATTTTTATAGGTAAAGGTAATAAAAATGAATAGGCTTCTTTCTACTATAAAAATTAGCTGCCCTGAATAACCACTAGACATTATTATAATTTCAACTAGTAATACACAGAGTCAATTTAATATTGATAGGCAAATTGAAACCAATAAATAACCATGCAACACATATATTCATTGCATTAAATGTAGTACTCCACAAAGAACTAAAATATGGAGACGAATATATGAAGCCTGTGTAAACTATACTAAAATATTATAATGAAAACTTAAATTTACAAAGACCTAAACAAACAAAATCTTTTGTAAGCAAAATAAACATTGGAAAGTATTTTTCTATTCCACATGTGTGTTACTTTTATTAATAATATGGTTTAATAAGATTATTTTATAATTACTCTTAAAATTGGATATTAATTTTGTGATGACTTTGTATAAACAAGGGGTAAGTTACAAAATAATGTTGCAGACTAGAAAATACTGTAAAGTTGTTAATTACACTACTTACTATTTTTAACCACACTATTAATGGTAGAAAAATTACTTACTTAAAAATCAGTAAACACTAAGCAATAGATACATTTAAAGTAATTAATATATTATTAACAAATTAAATCAATTAAATGAAAAACTCAAAGAAATTTCATGCAAATGAAGGAAAGAAAAAACAAAAACTGAGACAGTTTTGTTTAAGCCAACTAGATTAACAACAATAAATTAAAAAAATGTTCTCTTATACTATAAATTGGAAAGCTTTATTTATTGTATATAGGATAAATACAAAAAAAAACAATTTTTAAATTACATATTTTATATCTGCTGTAAGAATATATATTATCAGAAAGTGAGGCTATATTTTAATTTCTAAATTTATCGGAGTAATTTAAAAATTGTCAATGAAAATTACAGTTGTGTCAAACATTCTGGAAAAATTCAGAGGGCATTTAAAAGATATCATCAAAATCTTGACCAAACCTGTTCATATATAACAAAGTAGTTTAAAGGATTGGTCCTATTCTATAGCCACAAATCTGAAGAGACAGATTATTTCCCTCTTTTAAGAAGAACTTTGCAATTCATAACAGTCCATTAGACTACACATAAAATATCTTAGTTATTTAAAAATAAGAAACAAACATATAAAAAGTGTAATACTGTAGATTATAACTCAGTGTTATAAAGAAGTGTCTGCATTGTAATCAAAACATTTAAAAATATCAATCATAAGAGATAATGTGTAATATTAGCTTTTACAATTGACCTTCTTGACAAAAACCTAAGACCAATAAAGCTTACCAATGAGGATAATCATAATATTAAAATTAATGTGAACTTGCATATTTTAAATAATACTCACATTCTCCATGGTATAGCTTCGATCCCAACTATTGAAAGGTGGCCCTCCATGGTAAAAAGGTGGGTATCTGTCACACATTGGTAAAACTGATCTTTCCTTTGGTACAACTACTGGTTGTCTAACAACTAACTCTTTCTATTCATTATAATCTGCAGCTAATCTTAAAGTATTTCTTCTTATATTTTTAATCTGTAAAAAAAATCTTGAACTAGTAAAATCAAGAGAACTATTACAGGTCACCGAACTTGTAGTGAAATATATAACCTTTTGGGATAATATAACTGTTAACAAATAGTTTATTTCCGTATTAATATAAAATTTAGTGGGATTATTACATAAATAAGGCTTTTGGCGTTGGTAATTGGCAATAGAAGAGTAATATTGCTATTGATTCCGGTAATTGGGAATCCATACAACGAGACACGAAGTCGTAACACTGTTGTACAAGACTCATTATTATTTTGAAAAAATAGGACTTTATCAATATTTTTGCTTTGCTTGTATAGTATTTGGTTTTTTTTTAATAATACAAATTATTTTTCTTGGTAAAAGTAGTTACACATTTATTTTTTTATAAAATATCAATTAATACGCGAAGGAACTTACCTTATTATTTTTAACATCAACAACTAACAATAACACAATTTGTTTTAGATTTTTATCGAATATGTACGAAAAGGAATAAAAGAAAATGAAATCACCTTAACGCTATCCACTGAAATCCGAAACACAGATTTGATAATTTTTTGATGCTGATTATTTTGTCAAAATAATGTCATAGTCATTATCACATTGACAACGAAAAATATGCACAGATTCTAGAAGAATAATTATATATAGAATAAAAAACGTAGTACGTGTTGGAATAAGGTATCTATGGATTTAACAAATGCATGGCAAACAAAGCAAGAAATATTCTGACCATAATTATATTTTGTTTCAGTTTGATCCGAAATGTTTTTATAGTCATTTAATAAATTTAAAAAAACTAGCCGGAAAATGGGAATGACATAAGCTCATTTTATTTTACCATTGATTGGTGGTAACTGGTAGTGGGTCGAAAATCATTTTGTCTGAAAGAGTTAGCTAGGGTTGACTAAGCCCTGTCTTAATAAATACAATGCAAGGTGGAATAAAGCTCTCCATAAGAAATAACTCACCCTTTGACGCTTAACGTCGATAAAAAAGGGTAATTATATATAAACACCGCAACTCGATGTTGACTCAATAAGAAACAATACATCAAATCTATAAATTATCTTATCTTAATAACTAAACTCAGTTACTGCTAATATCCACACAGCGTCCTCTAAATAAACGGTGGGAATATCTTGATACACGCTGCGTTAGGTCAAAACTCAAATGACTTCACTTTAAAAATCTATAATCGATTATCTGAAATATTTATTAATCAGTTATCGGGAATTCAATTCATTCAAGTATCATTATGGATAAGTTAATCGATGTGCCCATTTAGTGAAAGTTGATATGATGGTTCGCTTTAAAAACAATACAGCTTTCTATTTTTCAAAGTAATAAAGTGCAGAACTAAGTGGGGGTAATGCCCTAAAGGCTAAAACTGATGTCAGTCGTCAGATCATAATTCATAGTACACAGCTGTCATTCGTCACACTGGCATTTGGCCGTTGGCGTGCCTTGTGAATACGTTTTTTGAAACTGGATTTCTGGAGACAGGAAGCCATTTTGCTATTAAATTCAGCCACGAAACAGGAAACAATCTGCTTTGTACTTTGTAGATACTCCGTGCTAGATAGAAGATACTGGTTAGTGGCTACAGCTTCAGGAAGTAAATTCTTGTTTGTATTCGAAATTCGTGAAAGTAAAATGAACGACATTTTGAATAACCAAAACTAGTGCGTGACGTGGAATAATTTTAAGTATTAGGTAAGTAACCCCTTTTGCTGGCGCATAAAATGCGTGGGTATTGTAAATTATGACAAACTATTTTTTTATCATTATAAATCGTTATTTAACATGTAAATAGCCTTTAAAAAAATAGATTCTAGACATACATAATTTTCGCACGTCGTTTAAGTACCATCCAAGATGGCAGTTATGTTATTTCGAATAATGTTAACATGAGACTCCACTTATTTTTCTTCTATGTATACAACGTGGTATATTTTATTTATATAACGGGTTAGATGCTAGGACCTGTATATTAAATTATTACTCGGACTTAAACTGAACTATTCATTCTAAGACTATTATAAATATGTATGAAATAAAATAGACAGCCATCTCCCTGTTTTATAGGTGCTGTCATACAAAAGTAGAGATGAGTGTGATCATAAGGCTGCAGAATCTTCCTTGGTCAGCCAATGCGCTTGATATTAGGAATTATTTCCAAGGCCTTTCCATTCCGGAAGGGGGAGTGCACATCGTAGGTGGAGAACTTGGCGATGCATTCATAGCCTTCAGGTAGCTATATGACATACTTCATAGATTTATATTTATACATTACTGTGATATTTTCACTAAAGATAAAATGCTAATAGCTGATCTCTTCAAAATATTTAAGGTGTATGTACTTAAAGGTGTTTTTATTAAAATTTAAAATAGAAACTATGTACATAAATTAGGAATATAATTGCAACATGCTTTATGTTTTGGAATGTCTATCAAAACTATATTAAAATGAATTATGAAATATTTAAATTTTTTTGCTATTCTATTTTGATTAATATTGAAAGCTATGTAGGAAACATTGCAATCTCCCCAACTAAAATAGACCACAAGCCCATGAACAAAAAATACCTGTGAAATGACCCAACATGAATTACGCTTAGAAGGCTGTTACTATATTTGAAAATAGCTCTGAGCACTATGCCGTCATTTCTGAGCGGTACATGTGAGTACGTGAGTGAATGGACTTTCTCAGGTACAATGGGGAATTTCGACTAATTATTAATGTACGGCTTTGTTATAAGTATATAGATGATTAAAAATAAATGTCGAAAACCTAGTGCCGTACAAAAGTGATGGTACCGGAAGTCGGTGCAAATTTTTAATTCGACGACAGTTGCAGAAGCAATATAGGTATTTATTACTGTGCGGCACGGCTTTGTGTGATTCCTTTTGGACACATATACAGATACTTTACCCGTAAACGCCGTACATATTTCCAGGGGAACGGTCGAAAGCCAAGGGTCGGAACCCTACCCCTACACCCATATACCCTAAGGTCATTGTAAAATGTACGGCAACATGTTCAAAATATTATTTAACACGGACAATAATGTTTTATAATTATGCCGTCCAAATATTATATTAAATTTGTGTAATTAAATATTTATCGAAATTTCAGGATTTACCAAGTTCTTGCTGCTGTAAGATGAGAGAATAATGTAGGAACTTTTTTTTACATAATGTTACTAAATATTACCGTTGTACCTTATAGCCGTTCATTTTAAATGGTAACAAATAAAAATATTATGAAAAAAAATATATGAAATTTCCGAAATTTAGATGACTTTTCAATCTCCTGGTATATGGGGAGTAATATTTTCAAGATTATTGTTATGTTATATGTAAAAATAAAAAAACAAAAAACAGTCCGTACATTTTACTCCAGATTATTCTTTAAGCTGATAAAACTTCGCGACTTTGAGGTGTCCCTTAAGGTATTAATAACTGTACATATCTGAGTATACTACCATAAGTGTAAAGTAATTTACAGCCTTATCGTACCAGCAGAGAGAGGTAAAGGAAAAATATTTTTAACAAAAATAAAAATATAATACAGGGCGTCCCAAAGTTATGAGATATGAAGGGAAAGTACCTTAAATATCGCAGATAGGGTATTTTACTAAAAGAAGACTTTATGTTATTTTAAAAAGTTAGTAATTCTGCATTCAAAGATTTTTAAAAACTACTTGCCTCGTCTGGAAATCGAACCGGCTTAAATTAAAAAAACACCCCTACTTTTATGATGCCAATCGAAAGAATGGCCAAAACCTAATAACTTTTCTAAAGTAACAGACTCGTAGGGGATTTTTTTGGCCGAATACGATAGATAATGTTTTGAATTTGATTAAAAAGATATACTCACGTGTTCCTTTCTTTTAAAATACTATGTTACTTAAGAAGAGTTATTAGTTTTTGGCCATTCTTTCGATTGGCATCATAAAAGTAGGGTGTTTTTTTTACATTTAAGTCGGTTCGATTCCCAGACGAAGCAAGTAATTTTTAAAAAATCTTTGAATGCAGAATTAATAACTTTTAAAAATAACATAAAGTCTTCTTTTAGTAAAATACCCTATCTACGATATTTAAGGTACTTTCCTTCATTTCCCATAACTTTGGGACGCCCTGTATTGGTAGGCGGTGGTAGCGGACTATCGAAAGTGTACGGCATTTATCTTTTATTGAAGATTGTCTAAAGTATTAATAACCTGTGTTATTGCCGTACAGATAAAAGTCACCGGAAAATGACTCTTTTCTGAGGAAAGTAATTTACCCCATACACCTATGTGTTCCACAAAAATGTACGGCATGTGGAAAATGTTATTATTTGTGAAGTACTCTCAAGATCATTTAATTTTATTTTTTCATATCATCATCACCTATAGTAATCAGACATATGTTGCGACCTTGGTTTCGACCGTCCGTGGGAATATGTACGGCGTTTACGGGTACAGTATCTGTATATTATCCAAAAGGAATCACACAAATGCCGTACAGTAATAAATGACCTTTATTGTTCTGAACTGTCGTCGAATTAAAAATTTGACCGACTTCCGGTACCATACTTTTGTACGGCACTAGGTTTTTCGACATTTATTTTTAATCATCTATACACTTATAATAAAGCCGTACATTAATAATTAGTCGAAATTCCCCATTGTACCTGAGAAAGTCCATTCACTACGTATCACATGTACCGCTCAGAAATGACGGCATAGTGCTAGAGCTATTTTCAGATATAGTAACAGCCTTCTAGCGTAATTCAGTTGGGTCATTAAGGTATTTTTTTTTGGGCTTGTTTAAAACTACATGTATGTGACAGTCATAAGATCAACCAATAATTGGTTTATTTATTATTAATTCAAAGACAAGGTATTGTAGCTTATTACTTAGTTCATAGCGGATAAAAATATTACTTATACTAGATAACTTACAGTCCTTTAAAACTGTGATATGGTAAGTAATTTCCATAACAAATGATAAAATGAGATAAATCATACTAAAATTTACTCTGTTAAGACAACAATTCTTAAACAATGGTAACCTGGTAAGTACTAATTACATATAGTAAAATGACACCATTCTAAAACATTTTGTTCTACATATCATAGTTTAGTAATCAAAAGTTGATTGCTTATTAATTCATTTTTGCTGTAAATAATGGTATCTTCTGTTTAAAAAGATTCATATGATACACTACATACCCAATAAAAATAATTAAGACAAAATAAAAAGAAAAAAAAAAAAAAAAAAAAAAAAAAAAGGGGGAAAAAAAAAAAAAAAAAAAAAAAAAAAAAAAAAAAAAAAAAGGGGGAAAGGGGGAAAAAAAAAAAAAAAATTTTTTTGGGGAAAAAAAAGAAAAAAAAAATTTTTTTGGGTATAAAGGGAAAAAAAAATACCAAAAAAGTTTGGGGGGGGGGGGGTTGTTTTTTTTTAAAAAGGGGGGGAAAAATTAAATAAAGGTGGGGTTGTGTTTTTTGAAGGGAAAAAAAAAAATTTTTTGGGATTTTGAGGTTTTTGACTTTTCGGGGTTCGACTTAACAAGGTTCTACTGTATATGACCATTAGGTCATAGAACTTTTATCAAAACTAGTAAAAAAAATAACAATTAAATTTTTTTTAGGGTAGGTTGATTTATTATGCTCTTCATATCATGATTTCCACACAATCAATATGCTCTCAATCAATCAGCAAAAAAACTGCTAGCTATCAGCTACTATGATATACCTGCATAATATTTAAGATAATGCAGCTATATTGACCAGAATGTACCTTAAATTGATGGGGTAGTATAATATAAGCTCTTAATCTCTAAGCTCTCAATCTTATAAGCAAGTGTTTATGCCCAGACCACAATGAATCTTTAAAAAAAATTTAACTTTTAGTTCAGTTTCTTGGACTTTGACTGTATATTCTAATTTACCTGATATCTTGGACTCTGCATAGAATTAAGGTACAAACTATTTTCTAGTATATATCATACTTGTAAACATTTAATTATACTGTAATATATAAGGATAACTTGGGAAACATTAATAACTTTAGTCTCAAGAATTTGGGAACCTTCAACAGTTATTAGTAGTTCTATGAGAAATATATCATGCTTGTATTTTGCATTGTTCTTCTTATATTCAAGTTTTGGGTTATTTCTGCCATCTTAATCATAGAACTTAGTCATGTTTAGAATGAGGAATGGATTGAGCTTACAGCTTGGCAGGATAAGGTAATGTTCCTGGCCGCTGCAATAACTTAATTTTACGATCCACCATATTAATCTATATATTCCTAAACCAGTCAAAGAAAGTTGTAGAAATAAAAATATGCGAAAAACGTGAATAAAGACTGACTTAGATTTTTTCTTTAATGGTATGCTTAAATTCATAAGTTTATTTTAATATAGACCAAAACAACAGTGACATACTTATTTCTGCCTTCAATAACTATTATTATTTTATGATTGTTACTGCATAGAGAATGAAATAGCATATTCTAAGGAATGTTGGCTATGGCTTGGATTAATAATACTAGGTTTGCTTTCATGTGTATTATTCTTTTAATAATTGAGAACCTGCTGAACTGATTTCACAGACTGTATATGCAAAAAATTGCCGAAGTAGACAAAATTCATTATTTTACCTGGTAATACAGTTAACAACTCAACTAGATAGATACACTTCATTTAATAATAACTCAGTAAAAGGTGAAGAAATTCTGGCCTTCATGCAACACTAACAGACAGATATGTTCTTAGTACTTAATACTTCATCAAAAAGAAGTCTGGAGTTCCAAGGATCAGCATGGAGTACAAGTATAAATAAATATAATATCTGAAACTAGTACATTTTAGATATTCATTGTTTGTAATTATTACTCAATGGAAAACATAATGTAAATTCTATACATATTTGTTAGACTTAGCCGGTAATGGCGTGTCCACCAAAGTATCAAAAAGTTATTAGCATTGCAAGTCAAGTCTAGATTGTACACAGATTCGTGTACCTACATAATAATTGAAAGGATATAGGTACCTCTCTCTTTTAATAGAAAAAAACTCTATATACTAATAATACCTTAACAGCTGAATATTGTTGAATCAATAAACAAGATGTTAACTCTCTGAACCATTAAATCGGTTGCTGAACGGAATGTTAATGTCTGACATCACTGTTAATCTAATAGATGTCAAATCCGTTCGAGTTGCTGAATTTTTTATTACCTTTACGTAAGTAACACTGTTTAAGTCATTTATTGGTCATTAATTTCTTCGTATTCAATAAGCCGTCAAGTTTAACTTAAAAAGGTGATTAATACATAATTTTAGGTTAAAGATTGATCAACCAAGTTAATTAAATTAACTGAGGCAGCTATAATGCAATGCTATTCCATCTCTCTTCTCTACTCCATTTCAGTTAACAAAAGAAAAAAGTACATAATTACTATATTATTGATCGGAACGGTATTATATTTTTAAAATATGGAGTAAATTTCTCCATTCTAACTCGCTTTGAATTCAAAGAAAATTTATTCTCTAAAAAATTACGAATCGTATAGGAGCAACATTTTTTGCTCAAAGCATTTTAATTTGTTTCAAGTTTCTTCAGTTTGGTTAAAAAATTACGCCCATTAAGTGCATTTCTCAAATAAATTTCGTTCCTGTAGATTTTCAAATATACCTCTAGTGCATAATTTAATTACAGTGTGAATTTTAAATTAATAAGAGTGTAGAGTTTGAGTTGATGAATTGTTAAAAATTGTCCTCCCGAAGGCAAAATATGGGTGGTATTTCTTTGGCAATACGTTTTGCTGATGAAAGGCTTTTTGCTACCGCAACCGATCCAGATATATCCTGTCGTCATCTGAGCCCCATGAAGATGAGGCACAATCGTCAGGCTCAGCTTCAGTATTTTCTCGTCGTCGCTGTCGTGGCATCTAGACTAAGTTAAGGTGTGTGTGATTACGCCATATCTCATGTGCATAATGAGCTATATTTGCCAAGATTTTAAAAACCATTTCTGTTGATTTATTATCCAAAGAACACACAAATTGTTTTTTTTATAATTCTTAAAAGGCTAAGAATTCATATTGAACATAATTTCAAGAACCCGCCAAGTTGCAAATCTGGACAAGATAGCGTCGCATCAGTCGCGTCATAACGCATGCCAGTAAATACGTAAACAAAGGTTCAAATTGTTTTTGCAGTAATTGTAATTCTTAAATATAACAAATTCACTTATATTCTTATATATATATACATTAGGATAAGATATGCGTTAATATATAATTTACGGGCATGGTGCGTCATCGACGATTCGACTAGTTTGCGACTGTCTTGTGTCACGTGATTATCATTATTGTTTAAATGAATGAATTAACGTTTAGATACCCCTTTTTATAAATAATATCTAAAATATAATTGACGTAGGTATAAAGAGACCAAATATTACCGAAAGCTTCTTTTGCTTTCTTTTGTAGGCTTAATGCAGACGGTAATTTTCGTCAATGTTTATCGATTGTACTGTTAAATAACCCGACATTGCGTAGAGTATCAAGAAATTTTCGGTGCTAAACTAACATCGGACAAACCATACAGCTGATAGGCTAATCTGGGGAGGTGGATCTGCCGATAAAACTAGGTACCATGTGTTAGGGAAACCGCTGTTTTAAGCTGAATCGTCATACTAATGAGATGCTGAACTTATCTCTAATGTTTAAAAAAATAGTTATCTACGTTGGTAGGGCTGCCGGCTGGAAAATATTGTTTTGTAATTATTTGCACTATACCTTATTAATATTGTTGGTCTTTTTTATTCAAATATTTGTGGGTTACCAAACCCCCGGTTCAGACTACTATTTATTTACGTATTTACTTTCGAACATATTGCTGAAAAAACTACACACATCAAAATTGATAAGTTGAATGATGAGGCCCGGCGTGGAGACACCGACTTCAACGTACTGGTCGGAGGCACGCTACATTCAAGATCAACACAGAATGACTTACAACACAAGTACTGCGTAGTAGAACTTATTGTTGAATGAAACTCGTCAACGGCTCCAGGACGTGGTGTATGCGCGTAAATTTGCTTTTATCAGGATGACAATGGTTGTCTAGTAGGTACGGCTCTACGACTTTTGCATCACAGCACTAACGAAGGTAGATTACACGGAAATGTAAGCATCTTCTTATCTATTCTATTCCTTCCATTTTCAGATCTCAAAAGATTTCGTTTTATATCTTTAACTTTCATAGAATAGAGGCGTGAGAAACAATTTTTAAAATAAAAACTACCATTATAAAATATTAAAGAAACTTTTTTGTACTTGTGGATACTACACTGCCTAAAACTAAAATTCTTCTGAAATAGATGAGCAGTGTTTTCCTCTACATTTGTGTTGGCTGGATCGTAAAATTGATAATTTCATGAAATAGTCGACTTATTGGTGATTTATAAAAATATGTCGCTACTATGCGCCAACCGTAACTACACCTCCGCCTCTAATAGCGAATATTTACGATTAATCATCTCATGATAGCCACCTCAGGTGTTCATGTAATCAGCCGTTAGCCGTATATTATATATCATTAGAGACTGACTATTTGGATTTGTGTCGGGATTTCAGTCTCCCTGGAATATGTGTGAAGGGAGCTGGCCATGCGTCGTGCACGGGTCTTACTGTTTGTGACTGTTCGTGCTTATTCATTATTAAAATGTTGTATGTAGTGATATTATTAATTTCAATCACTAGTCCAGGCGCTAGAGGTTGTTGAGTATGCAAAATGTGAGTGAGGAATTTCGCCAACGGATTTGAGTTAAGAAAAGGTCAAGCAATAAGTATGTGGATCTTGCTTATCCATTTTTTGGTCAATTTTTTTACCCCTTTTTCTCTTATGCCTTAAAAGGGAATGTATTGAGTACATGATATTAACTAATAAATAAAAAATTACGTGGCGAGACTTGAACGCTCCCTAATGCTTCAAAATATGCACAAGCCAAAGAAGACTGTGAGATGTTTATTTGTGGAGGATTCAATGATCCAACTAAATGTTTCAAGTTGCAAGGGTCTTCAGTTTGCGACTTGAATTACAATCAAACCATTCAGAAGCTGATTCAAGAATGTTCGTCCACACATTTCACGCAGTAAGGATACAATCTGCTCATATTATGATAATCAGCGCTGATACAGATGTACATAATTGTCTTGGCAGTTTATTACTGGAAATACTTAGCAAGTATTGGGTGTCTCGGTCTATGGTTTGACGGTTCTCACACAAATAAAATGTTTTTCTAGGATGCCATTTAAAAAAAATTCTGCTGATGAACTCAGATTTATACTGATATCTCAATAGATTCAATTTGATGAGAGTGATACGAGGCGTGCCTTTTAAGTTTTGTCGTTTGAAGAAAAAACATAACTAGAATCTTATAGTAGGTACTTTTTATTGTTTTTCAAAGTATTCACCACGTAGCTTAATACACTTTTCCATTCACTCAAACTAGTTATTATAACATTTATTCCACTCTAAAGTGAGGGTGTTCAAAATTACTGATTTGAAAGCGTCGACTGCTTCTTCACCGGACTGGAACCTTTGACCACGAAGACCTTTCTTAATTTTAGGAAATGTAAAGAAATCGTTAAGTCAGGACTGTATGGAGGATGGTCAAGAATTAATTTATCATTTAAGAATTTACCCTCACTTTTACCATGAGAACAAACTATATAAATTATTATAGAAATAATCATTAAAATGATTTTATATCATGTACTCAATACATTCCCTTTACGCATAAGAGAAAAAGGGTTTAAAAAAATGGACCGGCAAGATCCACATTATTATTCCTTGACCTTTTCTTAAGTCAAATCCGTTGGCGGAATTCGTCACTCACATTTTGCATACTCACATACCTCTAGGGCCCGGTCTACAACCACTTTACCGTGACTGCGTGTATGTGTTTTGTTGTCACATTGTCATCTGAGCGTGCTCCGATATCGCCCGTGCCTGCTGATGCTATGTGTGTGTCGTTTTATTATAATGACACATTGGTTCAATATATCAAGTGGAGCATGGTGTAATGGTTACAGCTCCTTACAATATACTTGGCGATTAAAAAATGCGGAAAGTTTCTTTTCAGGTTTTCTTCCGCTCTACGCCCGACTAACCGCTACTGTCCCAAACCTAACCTACTACCTACAGTATCCTAATAAGTGTAAGCTAAATGAATAAGTTAAATTTGATTTGAATCATTTTATGAAATATATCAATTTTAATATGTGGCTACGAAATATACAACGTTAGCTTATAAGACACCAGCTGCAGCCACAAAGGCATCATAGGTAAGATTAACTGTGTAAAATTTTTGTGTTGGCTTTTCGAGCTTCGATTTTGTTACAAGATTCCTCCAAGATTTCAAAGAACTGACCGGAATTAGCACTACTCACAATCGAAAAGTTAAATTAGTTATTATACATGTGCGTAGTTTATTGAAGTATCGAGTACTTCCAGTATTTATTACTTTACGAAATCATTGAAAGTTCAATGACCTTTAATGTAAGCAACAAGCTAGAATGAGTTTCAATTAGTACTTGAAGGGTAATATCAAAGTTATAATACAAATTATTTAGAAAGACGAAGAAATTTCATGAATTTATTCCGCTGACTTGCAATTGACCACAGTTTTACTGGTTAGGAGGCCTAAAACACAGTCGGCGTAAACTACGTAGGTCAGCTTGGTCGGTTTATGGTACAAAGTTATTGTGGTAGGGGAGCCCAAGAGGGGATTTCGGGATTTACTAAAGCGCGGCAGATTAATATATAGGGGGATACCTTGTACCCGGTTAAGTACCTCCACAAAATATGAGGCCCATATATAAGGCCGCCCGTGAAGGAGACAGGATCAGATTAGTAAAAAAAAATTGACCATCAGAAATTCCCGAGCGCGTCAGATTAAGGTAGGGTGAGTTAATTACATCCTAAAAAGTGTATATTCCACTAATCTGACAATTTGAAAGTGACGTAAAAAAAGGGGAGGGCAACAAAGTTGTAAAAAAAAACGTCATCTCGACATTCTCGAGCGTAGCTAATTTTTTTTTATTTTGAAGGAAATAATTCAAGAATAATGAAAAATATATAATCTGACGATTTCCGCAAGCCGAAATAACAAAAATTCGTCGATAAAGTTAAATGCGTGCAGCTGCGTGATGCCTACATTTCCTTAAACCGATCGGAATCTACTAAACGGCGTTCTAAATATTTCCCTCAAAATTACATTTCCTGTGAATTTGAACCGATTCGGACCGATAGATTTTGAGAAATTTTGAAAAATCTTAAAAAAATAAGAAATAATTTTTTTTAAAGTGGTTTCTTTATCGATCAACTTCAAAAACTAATCCGCCTTTGAGCTTGAAAAACCACGTCGATCGCCACCAAGCTGGTCAAAAGCGGTTGATTCGTTCGAGAGATATCGTGAACGAAAGAAACCCGAAAAAGTGTTTTTTCGGGATTACTCCGAAATTTGTGGTTCGATCAATTAAAATTGATCGAACAAAATTACATATGAGGATGATAATACTACGTCGAATGCCGCCAACCGCGTGAAAATTGCTTGATCCATTCAAAAATTATTGCGGTTTGAAAATTCCAAAAATAGTGTTCTATGAAATTTCTATCAGACTTTCGAGCTGGGAGAGCTCAAATGCATAGAAATATTATTTCTTTAAACTCAGCGAGCTCAAAATATCAATTTTAAGCGCCCAGGAATGGAATTAGCGGGAAGTTGCAGGGATGGCCCTTTAGGTGAACCGTTTTTCTAAAAAATTTTTGTCAGATCAGGCGAATCCCTCTAGATAATCGTCAGATTATGAGACAGTACGTTTAGAACATAAAGATGAACCAACTATATCTTAATCTGACGCGCTTGAGTATTTCAAAATTGCGATTTTTTTT